CTTGCGAGGCTTTTGCGAATTGGGGTCATTGACAAGCCGGTGGATATTCTCCACCCCGAAGTGTGGGATAAATGCACTAAAGCGTTAACTGAGGAGACGACGTCCTCGGGCTGTGGGAGAAGCCTAGAGTCGTGGGGGAGAGTCGTGCGGGCCCTGCGCAGGGCCATGCCGGAGCGGGAGAGCTGGAGGGCGGCAGAGAGCCGTTTGTCGGCCGCCCCGGGACTGGGAGTCGGGGCGGCCACGCGGACTTTGCACCCCTCTGACGATGACGATTACATGTCCTCTCAATCGAACCCCGACCCGCCCACGGAGGGACAGAAACGTGCTAAGTCCTTCTGGGGTGGGTTAATCGAGGAGGCCAGGGCTGCCGCAGAGAAATCAGAGCCTGAGGAAGTTTGGGCTCGACCGCCCCCCTATGCGCCCCAAAATGGCGCCGAGCCAGAAGAGGGAGGGCGAGGGGAGGACGCCCTTGGCGGGAACATCGAGGAGGTGTTAGATAAAGGCGGTGGGAGCGACCGGGAAGGTGAGGGGAGCGTGAGTGAAGGGTGGAAAGCCAATCAGAGCGGCCGTCTGAAGAAAAGCCCCTGTGGGGCGAACATCCCGCTGGGCAGAGGGCGGGACGAACCAAGAGGGAGGGAACGGCCTGCCCGCAAGGGAGGCGGGCGGGGCCAGAGCCTAACAAAAAGGTACGAGAAACCGGAAGTGGCCGCTCAGTCGGGCTCTGACTCCGGACCAGTGGTTCGCAATTGACTTAAACTCAGAGGAGGAGGGAATGAATACGAACAGAGTTAAGAGCCGAAATATTCCCATCCAAATTAAAGAGAAACCGCGAGGGGGAGAAATCCCTCTTACAGACTGGAGGAAAATAAAGATTGCATGCGCCGACTGGGCCCCATCGGCCACACTAGCGTTCCCAGTCCGGGTGATGGATGAGGGACAGAGGGTCCACTCACCAATAAACCCTAGGGATATACAAGCAATTGTTAAGGCAATTGCAGATAAAGGGCTTAACTCAGCTATGGTCTCCACCCTTATAGATGGTGTTTTTGGGGGAGACGATATGCTCCCATTTGACATAAAACAAACCTGTAGACTAACTTTTGACGGAGCAGGGATGATTGTTTTTAAACAAGAATGGGAAGATAACTGCAAGACAACTAGCTCAAGTAACGGGGGCGGATCACCCGCTACATGGTTCCAGCCTGCAGCGGCTGATGGGTACAGACCCAACAATGATTACCCCGCAAGCACAGGCCCTGGGCCTGCGGGCCCATGAAGTGATGACAACTACTCGTGCGGCCAGAGACGCTATTCGCACAGCCTCTAAAGTTATTGTTAAGCCATCGCCATGGTCCACCATAAGACAAAATGAAAGTGAGAGCTTTACACAATTTGTAAATTGCCTCCAGGCAGCAGTCGACTCCTCGACCCTGCCTGCGGAAGCGAAAGGCCCGGTTGCCACCAACCAAGGTGGCCCACAAGAGCGCGCCGGCCACAGGCGGCGTGACCAGCCCGGCACAGTGGTGCTGCACAAGATCCGCCACTACCGGAAGTCCACGGAGCTGCTGATCCACAAGCTCCCCTTCCAGCGCCTGGTGTGCGAGATCACGCAGGACTTCAAGACTGAGAGAGGGTCTTGTTGATGTTTATACATATCCCTTTGGTGGGAGTCAAGTGGATGGGGCCGGGCTCTTCCAAATAGTGCTCGGTGACAGGACAAGGGGCACTGGAAAAGGCTGCCCGAGGTTCTTGTGGAGTCTCCCTCTCCGGAGACTCACCCACCCGGATGCTTTCCTGTGGAACCTAGTGCAGGGAATCCACTTCAGCAGGGAATTAGACTAGATAATCCCCATAGATCCCTTCTAACCCATACAACTCTCTGACTGAGTAATCTTTTTTTATTATTATTTTTTAAGTAAAGAGAAGCCCTGCTACTGAGGCTGAGGGGGCGGCCTCTTGCAGGGCGGCTGTGAGTCCTGGTCACTGTCGGCCCTCCTCTTAGGGGGCCGCCGGGCCCGCTCAGGCGAGTGGCCAGAAGCAGAGGGGCTGCTTCCCTGGGCAGAGGGACCTGCTGCTGTTGCCGGCTCCATCTCTTCATGGGGCTCCTCCGCTTCCCTCGCCAAGTGTGCAGCATCAGCCTCTGCTGTCCTGGACTGCTCCTCTCTGCTGAGAGTTATACTGCTGCCGGTGAGTCCAAGCTGTGACATGAGGGTCACTTGTGAGAAGGCTGCAGGGCCAGGGGCAGCCACAGGGCTGTCCTCCTGCTCCCTGGCTGCAGGGCCCTCCTCCTGCCCTCCCAACTCAAGGGTGCCCTGCAGACCCAGCAGTCTGTGTGCCTCCTCACTGCACTGGTGCACAATAGTCTCTTCAAGTTCCTGGATGAATGTCTCTGTTCTGTCCTCCAGGGCAGGCCGCATCAGCTCCACCAAGTCCTCGCTGTGCAGCCCGATGTCACACAGGGCATTCAGGACTAAGCCCTCCACTGCCATTGCTGGCCACCAGTGCGTGTCAAAGATGGCTTGCAGCTCGTGGCGTATCCATGGCAGCACAGGGTCCAGGATCTGTTGGTGCTGCCTGAACAGCTCTGCCCAGGCCTGAGGCCGAAGACCACCTACCATAGGGTTCTCCTCTTCCTCCTCATTGTCCTGATCTTCTGCTTCCTCATCTTGTGCTTCCTCTGCCTCCTCATCCACCTCCTCATCCGACCACGGTGAAGGGGGTGGCGAAGAGGATAGCGAAGAGCCTGAGCTGCTGAAACTGGGAGCTATGGCTCCCTGGAAGCAGGCGGGTACAGGTGTTGCTGGAGGCCAGATGACGAAGTCCAGGTCCTCGTCATCCTCCAACGCTGCCACCTTGACCACTTCCATCACCCTCCTGCAGAGAGGGCAGCTGTCCTGCTGCTTGCCCCACCGCAGGATGCAGCCGAGGCAGAACTCGTGACGGCACGGCATCGCGTAGGCAATGTCCTTGCGTGCATCACGGCAGATGGGACATACCCATTCCTCCTCTGCTGCCATGCTCCTCACTCTGTGGTGTGCTGGGGAGCGAAGATGAAGAGCTGCTCCTCTTCTGCAGCACCACGGGGGTAAATGTTGCGCACTGCAAAGACAGAGGCCGCGGTCAGTCAGTGTCCCAGGGACAGAGGATGGAAACACCCAGGTCCCTCGGCAGGACACCCTCTCGGCCCTACTGGGGCCCGCCCCTGCTCCATGCCCTCCCAGGGCCCTCAGACCGTGGCCCTGGCAGCTCCCCATATCTCAGCACTCGCTCCATTGCCACCCTGGGGGACGTGTCCCCACCCAGCTCACCTCTGCTGCTGCGCGTGTGCCCGTTGGGGCCCCGGTGGCCTGAGCCAGGCAGACCAGGGAAATGCAAGTGATGGCTGTAAGGATGGGCACTGAGAGCCACTGCCAGCAGTGCCCAAAGCACAGCCCAGCACCCAAGACAAATGCTCGCTCCACCTCCAAGCCTCGCAACCACACGCTCGGCAGGAGTCCAGGCACGAGACTGACTGGGCCAGGCTCTGCCTGCGCCCAAAGCTGAGCAGTGAGGGTGCTGAGGTCACAGTGCATCTCTCGGTGACATCACAGCCTGTTGCTCAATGATGTCACCACAGTTCTTCAGCCCCCTTAGCAGCACTTTGCTTTTGTGTGTCTGCACATGCATCTGGGGCTACCACTGCACTTCTAGCTACTGTCCTCCCCTCCCATTTCCCGACAGCTCTAAGCTCTGGACCGTGCCTTCACAGATACCCACCAGGTGTCCTTGTCCCTCTCTCTGTTTTTCATATCCAAAATACCAGCTGAGCTTGTCTAAAGCCAGTTTCCAAAGTTTCATAGAACACCAGGCATTTCTTCCCCCCTTCCCTTTTTTTTTCTTTTATTTTCTTTTTTTAATCTTTTTGCATTTTAAACATGCCTGCAAGATCCACAACTTCTAAAATCCACTACTTTCCCTTGTTCTTGTAGAGGAGAGCAATCATTAATGTACTCAGCACCTCTCATCTGCAACCTCATCCCATTTGAGTACTCTGTGATCCTCAAAATAAATGGTATAAACATGATGCTTTGGTGGTGATAGATTGGTGGAGGGAAGAATGTGACACCGTGGACGTGACAGCCCTAGCCCAGTTTTGAGACCCAAGACTTTGTGGATGAGTAAAGCTGGAGAGCTGGGCAGAGAGGAACCTGATGACGTTCACCCAGGACCAATGCTAAATCCTACATCTGGGGAGGAATAACTACTGGGGAATTTTGGGGAGTACAGGTGAGGGACTGACCTGCTGGAAAGGAGCTCTGTGAAGGACCTGGGCGTCCTGGTGGACAACAGGTCGGCCATGAGCCAGCAGTGTGCCCTCGTGGCCCAGAAAGCCAATGGCATCCTGGGGTGCACTGCAAAGAGCGTGGCCAGCAGGTCGAGGGAATTGATCCTCTTGATCTCTACAATGCTGAGACCACATCTGGAGTGTTGCGTCCAGGTCTGGGCTCTCTGGTTCAAGGACAGGGAACTTCACAAGAGACCCCAGCAGAAGGACACTGAGATAGCGAGCATCTCCCTTATGAGGACAGGCTGAGAGCCCTGGGACTGTTCAGCCTGGAGAAGGCTGAGGGGGGATCTTATCGATGTTTATAAATATCTCATGGACTGAAAGCAACGGGTGCACACCGGAACACATGAAGTCAGCGGCTCCGCACACACAGCCACGGCCAACTTAACAAGAATCCCGTGACACGTTTCCGAGGGACGTCTCCGCCCCGCCGCTCCCCTCAGGGCCGTAGGGCGCCCGCCCCGCCGCCGTCACGTGACCCGCGGCGGCCGCCCCGCCGCCTCCCGCGGGCTCGGCGCTGCCCCTTCCTCCCTCCTTCCCCGCGGCCTGTCCTGGCCGCGCGGTGCATTGTGGGAGCGGCGCTAAGATGGCGGCGGCCGCCGCTGGGCTGAGCTGGAGGCGGGTGTCTTCCTTCACGGGGCCGGTGCCGCGCTCCCGTCACGGGCACCGCGCGGTCGCCATCCGCGAGCTGGTCATCATCTTCGGAGGCGGCAACGAGGGCATCGCCGATGAGCTGCACGTCTACAACACGGGTGCGCGGGGCGGGGCGGAGCGGCGGGCGCGGTCCCGCCGCGGGCGGGGGTGGGGAGCGGCGGGGCGGCGGGGAGCCGAGCGCCGCGGCGCTGTCACGTCCCTGCAGGGCTCGGGCGCTGGGCTCGGGCCCGCTGCCCGGCCGGGGGTGGCGCCCTAACACCGCCCGCAGCCTCCCGCCCTGCCCCGAGGCCGCTGACTGGAAAAGCGTCGCCCGCCTCGGGCACGGCTCCGGGGGTCGCGCCGCGCCCGCGTAGTGCCGGCTTCGTTCGTGGGGAAGGGACTGGAGCTGAACGAGCTGAGGCACGCGTCTCGCTGAGGGAAGCGAACGTGCTGGCGTCGGGAGGCTTTCCAGGCAGGGAGCTGCTACGGTCTGGTTTGTGTGCGGAAGATGGGATGCCTGAAGAGTTTACTCCGCGCCGTGCTGTATAAGGCTGGGAAACTTCGGTGCGATTTCAGTTGTGGGGCTGAAGCGGAGGAGTGAGTGGCTGCCGCTTCTCGTTGGCTGCCGGTAGCGTGTATTGATAACGTGAAGGCTGCAGCCTGTGGGCTGTGCTTTCGACTCGCCGACTTTTAGGAATCATTCAGAAATGCCTGCCTTCCCCGCGTACTCCAAAAAGGAGTCTGTTTTTCCATGGTAGTGTAAAAATGTACTTGATCGCGTTTCCAGGAGGCAAGGGAGGGGTCTCTTAACCGTGCTCTTGTGACAAGTAATCAAAATAAAGCTTTTCGGTACGAGCATAGGTCGCTCCGAAAGTAATGCCTCCTAGTTATTTCCATGGAAACTGCAACAGATGCAAGGAACCCAGTAGCACTATTTGGTAGAGCAAAATCTCAGCTTCAAAAGACTATTTTTCAACATGGTCACCGTCATTAGCTGTGCATTGTTGTCACTGATAAGTAAGAGCCTGCATGCTGTGATCATAAAAACCTGTATTGGCAGAGGTGACCCATTGTTTCACAGTATTTCACCACCTCACTGTGCTCACATCCATTGTTTGGTCTCTGTAAGTATTCAGCAAGTGTCAGTGAATGTCGGTGGGTGTCATTTATTTGCATGGAGAAATTCAGTGATGCACCTTTGCTTCGTACACACTTGTGTCAGGCTACGTTCTGTGAGACTGTCCCTCTGCAGCAACATACATTGGGGTGTTGGTGGGAAGGTTCAACCTCTAATGCTGTGCTACCAACATCCTCCTCTGACACTGTGGGGCAGCATCATAAAATAGAAGGCATTACATTTGGAGCAGCTTTTATATGCCTTTTAGAACCAAGGGCTGGGATAGATGCCTTTTCAGTGAGTCTTAAATCATATTTTTATTTTTCTGCCCAGACTCCAAAGGTGTACACTCCTTTGCCACAGTGGCAGGAAGGGCCATGACTCAGTTGTTGCAGTCCCCAGGCAGGTGTTTGGTTCAGACTGACGTTTTTTGGCTGAGGACTGAGGTGCAGGGCTCTGACTTGGAGTGCCTGAGCTTGGGGTGGCACCCATTGTTCCTGCTGTGGGCATGGTGACTTCCAGAGACCTGGAACATGGAGAGGACTGCTTAATCCCCTGCAGCAGTGGCCACTGGAAGCTTTGAAGTTGCTAGCCGTGAAAAAAAAGCTTTGGAAAAGGAGAACACAATGTTTCCCGTAATTCCTTAATTCTAATACAGTTTAAACAACAACATGCTACTGTGTCAGCCAGTCTCAATTTTTTTTCCCTGCCTCTGTGTTTCTCCTCTCCCTTTTCAGTGCCGTACTCGGTAGATACAAACATTGGTCCTAGAGTTCTGTAATTAGTTTTTCAATGGGGCTTTTAAGTCCAGGCACACTGCCACGTTGCTGCAGCTATGATAATTCTGTTTCTAGGACTGGCACTCTGACTTAGTATAGTTATCTCTCCTGTGTGGAACAGCACTTGTGTTCCTCGTTAGCTTCTTTTTTCAGCAAGTCTATTAAATTGCTGTATGACCTCAGTAACTGTCTTGGTGTCCTGAGATTCATATACTGTGCAACACTGTTTTCATAGAGGTACTGGGAGATTGTTTTGGCTGTTTTATTTGTTTTATTTTTCTTTCTTAAGTGTTTTGTTTTAAGCATTGTGTTAAGCAGCCCATTCACAATCATCTACTGGTAAAGGTAGTTATTTAGATAGCAGAGATGTTTTAAAATACACTTTTTTTTCTGTGTTTCAGTGTTTAAATCCTTTTTTTTTTTTTTAACTGTAGCTACAAATCAGTGGTTCCTTCCTGCTGTAAGGGGAGATATTCCTCCAGGCTGTGCAGCGCATGGATTTGTTTGTGATGGTACCAGAATACTAGTCTTCGGAGGAATGGTTGAATATGGAAGATACAGTAACGATTTATATGAATTACAGGTAGGAGATGTTTGAAAATGTTCCAGTTTTGTGGAGTACTTCATTTATCTACTTAGGAATAAGCACATTTTACATTACCAGCTGTGATACGCGTGAAGATATTTCTGATTTTGCATTTCTTGTGTTTAAGGCAAGTCGATGGCTCTGGAAGAAAGTAAAACCTCAAGCTCCTTCCACTGGATCTCCACCTTGTCCTCGACTTGGCCACAGCTTTTCTTTGTATGGTAACAAGTGCTACTTATTTGGTGGCCTCGCAAATGAAAGTGAGGATTCAAACAATAACGTTCCCAGGTATGCTGGTTTGGATTGATCTCAGTGACTTAAAAAAGCAAGAAAAAAAAGACTAAATGCAACAACTTTGAAGAGGAACGTTCTAGGGAGACTGTCCTGCATGATGCACTGATTGTAAAGTGAACGAATTGCATGCTAAGAAGCTTAGATGTTCCTTCTGCTTATGCCACTGAAAGGAGCATGGACTGAAAGCTCTGACTTTTTTTGAGAGAAACCTGAGTAGACTTTGGTATTTTCCCTGGGTGATATTTTTAAGAATGCTTGTTAGTTAGAATTAAATACATGAAGTCTCACGGGTCATCAGGGAATTCACAATGGAATTTTCACCTATAATGCTGTGGAAGATAGTTAAAATCTTTTCAGAGTAACAGCTGGAGTTGCCCTTATTAAAAAAGTAAAAAAAAGTTCTATGGAACTGAAATTTAATACTGTGTTGACCTACAGTTGAGAGTGCTTATATCCACTGGGCAATTTGAAACTCATTAAACAAGAGGTACCCGGAGTGAGTGCCAAGATTCAAAAGATACCTAAAAATAACTTACCAACATTAACACATGGCTAATTGTCTGTTGGGCAGCCTGAACACATCAGAAAAGAAGCAGCTTCTTTTCACCTTTGTTGCCTTAGAGTTGCAGAAGTTCTTGAACATCCTGTGTGCGTTTCTTACAGCTCTGCAGTTTATTCCGAGTTTCTCCATACATAGTAATTTCAGCTGAGAATGTTGTTTGCCAGTTTGGAATGTTTCTTTGATGAACCATAGTGCATGAATTACGGTATGAAAGACTACTTAGAAGCAAGAAGTTACTGTAGTTCATTTTGTTTTAAATTAGTTTTGTTTAGGTACTGCCCATAATGCCATCAAATGTTCTGGAATTTTAAAATTCTCCACTCTTTCAAGGCAGAAGTTATAATACATGGAAGCAGTAGGGGTTTAAAGCTCACTTACAATCTTGTTAATAAGCATACTTTTCATGCTTCCTCGATAATTTTTCAGATATTTAAATGATTTCTATGAACTGGAGCTGCAGCACGGATCTGGGGTTGTTGGCTGGAGTATTCCTGTGACAAAAGGGATCTTGCCATCTCCCCGAGAATCACACACGGCCATTGTGTACTGCAGAAAAGATTTGGGAGTTCCAAAGATGTATATTTTTGGAGGGATGTGTGGCTGTCGGCTTAATGATCTCTGGGAACTTGACATAGGTGAGTTTTTTTTGCCAGTAGAAGTGCAGGGACCTCACTGGCAATGAGGAAATTAAAGTATGTAAGGATTAATGGCATTCTGTAGTGCTATTGAGAATTGCGCTGTGGTGTGAACCTTTTGTAATTTTTGAAATGAGACAGATACAGCATTGTTTACATTTATTATCCTCACCGATTTGGATTATGCTGTGAGATTGTTGTCTGAGATTGCTTTAAAGATGTTGAGATATCTGTGTTGAATAATCATAAAGAAAGTGGGTTTAATATATCCTTTTGAAAAACAGTTGTTGAGAATTTTGTATGATTTTTTAAAAGAAGCTCTAAGTGCTGTTATTGCACTTTCTTTCCTAAATTGGCCACCTTAAAAGGTGAAATTTCGTTTTGTTGAATTCTAGAGGGATGTTCCCACCTAAACCCCAGGTAGTATAAAACCCAGCAGTAAATTATTTGAGGATTTTTATTCTTTTTCTTTTAGAAACCATGACCTGGTCAAGACCAGAAACTAAAGGGACAGTACCACTTCCTCGCAGTCTCCATACGGCCAATGTAATAGGAAACAAGTATGTCTGTTGTTAAAAGCTCAACTATAGAAAGGTACACCTAGTAGGAGAATGGCAATGCTTATCCACTACTGCTCAGTATAAACCATCAGCCCTGTAGAGTGCTTCTCTGCTTCTGTTACTCTACCTCAGTGGAAATTAAGAAGTATTGTTTTTAATTTAGAATTATCAAACTGTTGGTGTTTCCATACAGCAGGATGGTCTGCTCAACCCACAGGCATTTTTCCAAGCTTCTCGATGCATCTCTGTGCATTCCGGGGCAGAATCAGCTGGACCTGAGCTGGTTCTGTCAGGAGCCAACTTCAGTGCCTCTGTGTCTGTGACAAGGAGATACCTACACAAAGTAACTGGCCCAAATAATAGAATTAGTTCTAGGCAAAACCATTCTGTATTTTTTGTGGACCAGTTTTTCTGTGGTCTCTTCTTCGTTATTTCACTTCTTGTCAGTATGACTTGTTTTGTCAGATAGGACCAACAAAATGGACTTTTAAACATGCATTTCAGTCCATTTCATATCAGTTTACAAGCCAGGGTGAGGAGAAAGAGGCAACAGATGGGGAAGAAGTGAAAAAGTTTTGTGTTCTCTGAGCCAGGAGCTTAGCTTTTTTTTTTTTTTTTTAATACATGAAGTTTTATTAGGTTGTAGCCTGCATTGTGCTTTGAAGTTTCGATGCCCGACTTAGATACCTGCCTTCTAACTATAGAATTATTTACTAAAAGATCTACAATGAAAGTGTAGAAATTCCATGTAAATGCATAATTTTTGGAGAGTCTCAGCAGTTTGGTGGTTTGTGAAAAGATGAAGTAGTAACTTCTGTATCTGGGAAGTTGTTTGAGTTTGTTGTTTGGTTGTTCTATTTTTAATCAGTTAACTTACTCAAAAATTTCAAAAGGTAGAGATCTGCAACAAGACTCCCCTACAATCTGATGTAAATCAGAACTGTAAAGCACTGGAAATTTTCTGTTTTGTCCTAGTTTGAGAGAGCACATGCAGCAGGACTGGAAATGTTAATTGGCTTTTCTTTTCTTTTTCCCTCTTCCCTCTTTTCTTTCATTTCAGAATGTATGTTTTTGGTGGATGGGTTCCACAGTCAGCAGGAGGTGAAATTTCTACTCATGATGGTGAATGGAAATGTACTGGTTCATTTGCTTATCTTAATTTGGGTTAGTGTTTCTGTCTTTCTGAGAGTGGGCATTTTGAATTAATACTTTCCTAATAGAGCAGAATTAAACGTTCACAAGACACTGAGAAAAGTTTGAAGACGTACAGCTGCAGACCCAGCTGACTACAAAAAAAAAATATACAATCCTTTTCTTCAACTTTCTTAAGTTTTTATTTCCTTTTGGAACATTCAGCAGATTTGCTGATGCAAATCTTTGTTTATACATCTTTAGTACTAGGTAATATAGACAGTACTTCTCCATTTGTAGTGGGACACGAGACAGATCCTGACATGAGTTTTTTCTGAATTGCAACAGAACTGTCCCTGATGTTGTGTTTGAAAATTGATCCTGTATTAGTTGAATGTGGCTTGCAAATTAACTGAAAAGTGACCTTCGTGTTGTAATATTGAAAATGCAAATGTAGTCATTTTATAAAAACAGAGGTTATTTATCTCCATTTTCTCTGAGCAGTTAAGTGTATTAACATATGTATTGCTGGTTTTGAAAAAATGACTAGAAACTAAATTTTGAGTTTCATTTGCTAGATACCACAGAATGGATAGGCCTGATCTCAGATTGCCAGGAAGACAAAAGTAACTTGTTACCAGGGCCAAGAGCAGGACACTGTGCTGTAGCAGTTGGCACTCGTCTGTATATCTGGAGTGGTAGAGATGGTTACAGAAAAGCTTGGAACAATCAAGTTTGCTGCAAAGACCTTTGGTACCTTGATACTGGTGAGTCAGAGATAAATAAAGGAATTGTTTTGTGCTCTGTATTTTATTAATGTGTAGGAAGCTGTCATGATCAGAAGCTCTGAAGCTGTAGCAAACACAAAGGTGTTCTAAATTTTAAAGCTTATTCCCGTGAACTGTACGTAGTTGGCAGTCAGTTGTTTGAAGGCTACAGCTGTAGTTCCATCTAAAAAAAAAAAAAAAAAAAGTAATAAAAAGTTTGTTTAAAGCCTCTGGAAGAATGTTGTGGCTAGATTCTGTATTGTATGCCATGGTTGATAGATACAAGATTCTAATGGATATTTTACCTAAAGTTTAAGTTCCTTACATCTTTTCTGAGAGTGATCTTTTCTGTTGCTGCTACTTTTTTTTTTTAACCAAACTCCACCGTCTTATGGGATCGTTGCTGCTGCTGCTGCTTCCTCCTCTTCTGGACTGCTAAAAGATACAGAGAAAGGACCAAATTCTTCTGGGGCTGAAGGGATTTTTGGAGCACTGATTGCTCATTATTAATTGAAATGATGGATATTTATTAGATCGCAGGACCCTGAGATAGTACTAGGAGTGAGGGGACTAGAATAATACTTTCATATGGGAGTTCCTATCTACTCAAGCAGAAGTGTGAGTTATTAGAGATTGTGAATTATTTAGGGCAGTGGAGAACATGTTTTTGTTTGGTTTTTTTTTGGTTGTTTTGTTTTTCCCCCTCTGAGAGGGTTGAGTAAAAAAAAAAAAAAAAAAGGAAGAGTAAGGGAAGAGCACATGCTAGATCCTAGTCAGGCATCAAGGCAAGCAAGGGGAGCAGGTTGTTGGCATTGAGTCATGCCTGGGCTTCAGCCTGCACAAGCTTTTGAGGGAAAGTTCACTTCAGCTATAAAGAGCAAGCAGAAAGGAAGTGCAGTCCTCTTTGAATTCTTTCCAGGAATACGTAAAGGTTTAGGAGTCAGAGCTGTATCCAGTCTTCTGGGAGAAGACGAGGATCTCTTATGTGTGTAGTGCCTATGGTGATGTCTACACAACCTGAAGACATAGCAGCAGCAGAAAACCCAGCTGTCAAAACCCTAAGAAAAGGCATAAAAATGTCATTAGTTCTGAATTCTCTAGAATGGCAATTTGCAATTTTGTGCTTGACTTGGCACTTTTGACATTGTCTCCTGCTTATTTTGGTATATATTGTACTTATGTGAAAAGGGAACTCTTGATTTTGCTAGCACTATATAGATATTTCTTAAACTGTTAAAAGAGAGCAATTTCAAACATGGCATCTTGTCTTTCTGGTTTCTTGTAGAGAAACCTCCAGCCCCCTCACAGGTCCAGCTGATTAGAGCTACAACCAACTCTTTCCAAGTAAAATGGGATGAAGTACCCACTGTTGAAGGATATCTTCTTCAATTACATGCTGACTCACCGGTGCCATCAGCAGCTGGAACACCTGGCACTGGGGTTCCTGAGACATCAGTGCTGAGTTCACAAGGTAGTCATCACATCACTTTATGCTATTGCTTGTGCAAAGGCAGAGTAAATATTTCTGTAAGTAATGAATACGAGTTTGTTTTAAAAAACAAGATCATTTTGAGAGATTCTATTTCTTTGGCTGTTCCTGAAATACATATGTCATAGTTGTAGAAAACTCAGCTTTAACCTGTCTCTGTCTGTTCTGATCAGAAATCTGAATGCTGAAGATATCTGTGCAGTGCTGGATTGTTTGAGAGCAGGCAGTGAGGAAGGGATTATAACTCACTGTTTGGCCAGTTTCATTTCAGTTTAACAGCTGAGTTGTCCTTTAGGCAGCTTCATGTTTCCCTTTGTTTACTGGAATAGATTCCACCCAACATAATACTAAGCTCTGTGTAACCGATTGGAATTTGCTTTTGTTTACCTGAAAGGTGGCTCTTCTCTGCATCAAAGTTCACAATCATTGCCTAGTGTCCCTTGCCCAGAAATGAAGGTGGATCATCCCAGCCAAGCAAATAATGTCATTCCTAATAACGTAAGTGTAAACTGATAAACACCAAGGTGGCAAAGTAGTGTGGGAAGTGAGAGAACTGCCAAATACTTTCCCAGTTTTTAAAATCCCTGCATACCTTTAGATCTAAGGAGACCCCCAAACAAAACAACAAAGACGACACCTGAAATGCTTGCTTAGTTCCTTATATTCATCTAATTTTCATGATTGATGCAGTCTTTAAAGTCCTCTTTGTGGTAATATGTAAAGGATATTGTGACTGTATTGACTTCCAGAATGCTAACTTGGAACCTGCTAACAGTAGAGATGTTTTACGTCCTCAGAATGTTCATGAAATTAACATGAGAAGCAGGAAGGATAATGCATGTTTCTTCTTTGTTAGGGTTTTCATGCAGTTTTAGATATTCTACTATTTTGGCAATTTGAAAGAGAGAGGAAAATCTCTGGCAAGGGGATCACAGTTTTAGAAATGTAGGCCTTTTCTTAGTTGGGTAAGCCCTCAGATCTGTATGGAATCCATATTATATTCTTACAGAAAATGAACGTAGAAGTATTGTGAATTTTACTAACAGTAGAAATCTTAGATATGTACCAGGAGAGCAATGGGTGAAAGTTAGAATTTCTAATTGTTATTTTGCTGTACCCCAGTCCCCATTTCTCATCTGCCTAGTAGACTAAATGTGTGCATCAATGAGCTTCCACGTAATAAGAGTGTGAGCCTGCTCAGATAAAACGTATATGGGATAGGGGTACTTCTAAGTCAGTTTAAAGCTTGAGTCCTTGTTTTATGTGGCAAAAAAATGTGGATTCTTAGGTTGGTTGCTTGTTTCAATTTAAAACGCTAAGGATATTAGAGGGATTTCATTTGTTGCTTTTGAGCAAGCCTTTTCATGCCATGTCTGCAGCTGACAGTTCTGAACTTGGCTGTTACATGTTAACCAATGTATTGTTTTGGTAGGTCCAACTTTCCCTTTCATCCAACTCACTCTTAAAAATAGAAGGAAAAGAAAAGGTTGCAGCATCCGAAAACAAGATTACACAGGAGACAATGAAAAACCATGCAGATGCAACAGCCTTCAAAGAATCAAATGCCCCTTCTCTTTTGCCTGTTTGTACTTCAAGTAAGATATTTATAGAATAAAAATTAGTAAAAAAGCAAGTGTTAAATCATCTAATAAGCACAAAGTAAAATTATTTGTCTTGCAATTTAAAATTAATTTACATGTTCTTGTGGTTTATAAAATTCCTTGTGCTAGCTAATACTGTGCATATTTTTAGAAGGTATGAGGAAAAATGAGATGTTCAGTGGGGTGAATCCAGGCCCAAGCACAGGATCTGTTTATATTTGATTTTTATGTAATTTAGATGGTGTGACCATTTTTATTATCTTCGCTGTAATTTAAGTATTGCATGCAAATTTGGGGTCTTAGTGCTGAGTGAGAAAGAGCCTTGCACTGTTGTCGATGAAGTTGATTGTTATGAAACTCTGATGTTCATTTGTGTGGGTGTTTCTTTTTTTTTTTTCCCAAATGAATTCTTTCATCACCAAATGGATATGAAATACATCCAACGCAAATGAAACTGCAGTTTTAATATAACTGTGTACATATATCTGGTTAGGACTATGCAGACAGGGTCTTACATAGCTATATACATAAAGCATTTGTTTTATTTGTTCACAGTGTTCCTTATTGATTTCATAATCAGATCTAATCTAAATCTCTGTTTTTATGTGAAACCAAAGCCATTAGATTAAGTTAAGATCCGTGTTCAGTATCATCAGTATTGAATTCTGGTTAATATTTTTTTTTCTAAGGTCCTCAGACTTCAGCAAATGTAGGTGAATTACATGACTTGGACAAACGAACTGTAATTCCTGATGCTTCTGTATCCAGTACTGTCTCCAGCACACAAACTATGGTAACCCAGCAGGCTGTTAAAACTGAATCATCAAGTACAAATGGGGCAGTTGTTAAAGATGAAACTTCACTAACAACATTCAATTCAAAATCTGAAGGTTTGAAATGTGTTTCACGTACTGTATTTTGAGCCATGTATATCTAAGGCCATCAGAGTTCCTGTAGTGTGGTGGGATTCCCATCTTGACTAGTACCTGGGTTAGAGATAGGGCTTTGGGCTACGGAGGATCTCAGGCAGCCTGAATGATCTCTGCTATGATTTACATATCTCTAAAAATCAGGGTATTCTTTTACTTTTATAAACCGCTTGGTTTTCTGTAAGTGAGAAGTCTTTCAAATCTTTATGCAGATGCCTGTTTTATAAATAGCCATGGTGGGCAGTTCTGTTGCCTGTGTGACATTTGCTTTCATCTGGAGATTGCTTTTTTTAGTCAGCAGAAGTCTATTGTTTGTAACCTTGGATTTTCTTCATTTTAAATAACTGACCTCTGTAATGAGCATGGCAGCTCACATGGCTGGCTCACCACTAGGCAGACGTGGTGACCTCTTTACAGTCTGTTTGAAATATCCAAAACAAGCATCAGTACAGAAGCTAAACATACGGGTAGTTCTTCGCATTTTGTTTTTCTTGGAAATCACCAGGCTGTGCTTGCTCTTGTTTTGAGTGTTAGCTAAAGAATGGTATTCTCTTATTGACACTGAGTAGTGTACTTTTTACTGGACAGTATTGTTTTTTAAAAGCAAAACACAAACACAAGTATAGAGTACTAATATTCCCTTGTATTGTTCGTGTGCTTTGATTTATTTTTGAAGATTTGTTTTTAAGTTTAAGAAGCATTGTCTTCCCATTTCTTAGGATTGCTAAAAGATTAATTGTTCTTATTAATACAGTCTGAATTCTTTATGTCAGAAGCAGTACATTAAGATTTTAGGCTTAGTGATGATACTGTATGAGCAGCCTATGTGCCTCAATCTGATACTTCGATTGTTCACAATATTCTCTACTGAGTTCATAATTGTGTCATGCCTAAGGATAGAATTTCTGAGACCTGCCTTCCAAGTTCTGTATTATCTGCAGTTATCTGTGGTGTCAGCTTCTGTGAATATGAAGCAAGCCAAAATTAGTTGTCCATGTTATAAATAGAACTGCATGCAAAAGAACTTTGAGACATGCTTTTGCAGCAAACGCTTGTAAATGGCTGCTGAGGTCAACTCTGTGGACTTCATGTTAAATTTTTCTTAGAGTTAAGCTTTTTCAATGTAACTTTTTGTTTCTAGCTGCTGAAACTGCTTATTTCATGCCTTCAACAAAGGTCAATACTGGACAGGCAAATGATTCACATTCCTCTGTAAGTCTGCAAAAGCAAAATCAAATTGTATTCTGTTGATTAGTTGTAAGGGTTCTTCTGTTTTTCTTCAACCGTGCCTCTTTGACAGAGGAAAAAAAGGGCTGGAAGTGAATAATACAGGGGTAGACATTTTCTGTTGTAAAACTAATTGCATTGTGCGGGTTAGATTTGAGTCTAAGAAGCAGTTGTTTAGTTGGGAGGAGATCCAAGAATGTGTTTCAGCTGTTGAATCATTTTAATCGACTGACACAGTGGTGTGGGCTTTCTGCTGCATGATGTGCAAATGTGGAATGTTCTTCTGTCTGCACAGCTGAATTTAAAATGAGATATGCATTAAATCAGGTGTAGTGTTAGCTGCTGATGTGTAGGTTTGAAACATAACTGAACTGACATCTTGATGTTTTTCCCTAGAAGAGATGGGGACTGGCTATGCAAGCTGTAAATACTTCCTGAAAAAAGTAAATGCCTCCTATTTCACGTGCTTACATTTTAATACACAAAACCAAGATGCTATTTTTGCCACCGAAAGAGTGGAGCTAAGGATGGGGAGAACTAGCAGCTATTTAAGAGTTAGGATACTTTTGCCAGTAGCAGCTGACACTCCTGCCCCTTTTTTCCACACTAGCAGGAATACCATCTGTCTGTGCTGGATTGCACTGGCCATGCAGGTGCTCTTCCTGGTGCCTGGAGTCAAACAAGAAAGATGGCTTGTCTTTCTGGATCAATCCACACAGTTCCTATGCCTTGAACAGCCATTGTGCCATGCCACAGCAGAGGTTCTGTTCTGAGCTGCAAGTTTAGCAGTTGCTTGCTGCAGGGAGTTGGGGCTGAAGTGCAGTAGAATCCCAGACAGAGCTGCTTATGTATGACCAAGTCACACTTTTGTTAATCGCTGAGCTTGAGAGTGATTACATGCTGTTCTACACACCTAGTTCTACAGCTTTAAGCTTCTTCCCCTGCCTGCTTCAACTAGGAAGCTGCAGTTACTCTATTTTTTAAGTGATGATGTGTTCCTAAATTTTTGAGAACCTGTTGTTTTTGAACAATATGTTAATAATAAATGCATATTCATTTGAAGTATACAGAATTACTCGCTGGTATGGAAAGGAATTCTACATATTCTAGAATCTTGAAATGTTTTTTTTAATGCTATATTGAAGTATGGATGATCTACATAACCTGTTCTTCAAATACTAGAGAACTCCACAAAGACAGATGGCACCGGTGAAATCAAGGGAAAGACAGTGGTATGATGTTGGAATTTTTAAGAACAGCAGTGCTGTGGTGAGCCAGTTCTACTTGCTGCCAGAGGAAACTCTGAATGCCTCTAACAAGGTAGCTGCTAATTTTTCTCTGACGTAGCTTGCACTTGTGCATTTTCAAATGTAATGCTCATATGCCTGACAACAAAATGTGGGATTTTCTGATACTGCAGCACAAATAGGTCATTACAGGAGTTGTGTATTTTATGACCATGTAGTTCCTGGCATATTTGGCTTACATTTTTCCTAAACCAGACACATCTTCTGTTGTTTTCTCCTAATTATATGGAACATCTTATTGTGCTGTTGCTAATTCTTTCCATGTTTCTATTTGTAGCTTTAGGAGGGAACTTTCAACTTAGTAAACTTTCGAGTCCCTGAAAACTGGACAGTACAGCACTTTACAGGCTGTGATTTCACTAGAGCGTTTTCAGTCAGTTTCTTCTCTGTCTCAAGGATCTTCACTTAGAAACTTTTAAAAATACTAATAACACCTAGTGTAGGATGTTTAAAAATCGGATGTGAAGGTGTAGTTAGTTTTGTATTTGGTTTCTGTAAGTTTATGTTGTTAAACTTAGAAGTTTGTATATTAACATCCGAAATATGTGTAACTTACAAAACATTTGTAGTTTTGGTGGTGAAAGTATAAATTAATGATGTCTAAGTGGGCTAGAAACAAAACTGATTACTGTGTCACCTAAATGGCCAGAAGTGCTTACACTCAGGAGGCAGTTCCTCTTGAAAAGATGTCTGAGTTGATTTCAAACTCAGAAATCAGTGTTCACTTACACAGACCTGACACTTACTTGTGTGTGATCTGGCTGTCACCAAATGGCCAAGTATTTAGCCATGCTTTCCTTTTACCAGAACAGATCTCTGCTTTACCTGCAGCACTTTACCCATTAGTAAACAGCTTAGTTCTGCTGCTTGTAGATGGAGCATCTGAAAGAAAATAAAACCCACGGAGGATTTTAATCTCTGCTACATATATATGTGTTAATGGGCAATCTGAGCACATTTCTCTCTACTTCTCTGAATACTGATTATGCTGTCCTGTTATGTAAGGTACCTATATCTTTCTACAATATATTTGCAGGATTCATAGTATAAAATTGTTAGTTGCTGAATGTATTCAACATACTGTCTTACAGCAGTGGGTTTTCTTGAGACGAAGAACAGAGCAGTTTTTTGAAAACGCTTCACATGCCAGTTTTAAAGAGTTTATGTAGCGGACTTCACTGTGTTTGTATAGATTGTGATGGCTTGCACGTTATTTGCAAGGAAAATAGTTGAATAGATCAGTTCAAGGATGTATCAGTGCACATGGTAAGCATGGAAATACACTAGTACATAATATGTCAGAATCATAGAATGGCTTGGCTTGGAAGGGACCTCAAGGATCGTCAAGTTCCAATCCCCCTGCCACAGGCAGGGCTGCCAGCCACTAGATCAGGTTGCCCAGGGTCCCATCCAGCCTGGCCTTGAGCCTCCAGGGATGGGGCATCCACAGCTTCCCTGGGCAGCCTGTGGTGGTGCTTCATTACTCTCTCAGTAAAAACTTCCCCTGATATCTAATCTAAATCTCCCTTCTTTTAGATTAAAATCATTCCTCCTTGTCCTGCCTTTATATACCTGTGTAAAAAGTTGATCTCCCTCATGTTTATAAATTCCCTTTAGATATTGGAAGGCCACGATGAGATCTCCCCATGCCATTCTCTTATCCAGGCTGAACAATCCTAGCTCCTTCAGCCTGTCTTCACAGGGGAAGTGCTCCAGCCCTCTGATCATCTTTGGGACCCTAATGTACTTGTTACTAACTAACTGTGCTTTTCTATAGAAACATTGTGATTACCATTTCATAAAATGGTACCCTCTAGCTATTGGAATGAGTGTTTTTGAAAGAAAAATTTTTTTGAGGATAGGGCAGTATACTAATTAAATCATAAGCTATACAATTGGAGATGCTACTTTGCTTTTACTTTCCCAAGTAAAACGAAAACAGAGATACTGTTGACTTTAAATGTCTGAGTGTGCAGATGTGTGGGTGTGTGGTGTGCTTCAGTCAGAATCCTTCTATAAATCCCAATGAAAGTACAAAAATATTAAATCAGTTTTTGATTTCAGTTAAACTTATCTCAGTTTCTTGCTACCACTGTATATTTTTTTTTAGGTAATTGTGTTTAGGATGCTTTTGAAAGTATTCAAATGTTGCTGTATTTTCAGATGGAAGATGCAGATGTACCAGACTACAGGTTACTTAAGAAACAGGATCTTTTTCCGGGCACAGTGTACAGGTTCAGAGTTGCTGCAATTAATGGCTGTGGTGTTGGGCCTTTCAGTAAAGTGAGTGAATTCAAGACATGCATTCCAGGTTTTCCTGGAGCTCCTTCAACAGTCAAAATCACTAAGGTGAGAAATGCAGATAATTGCTGTGTTGCTTTTTTTTTTAATTGAAAGTTGTCATATTAAATAGTGACATTCTTCATTGTTGAATTCTGCCCAATATGATATGCTTTAAGAAACTGCTAAAATGAAAATATTTTAAGCCTTAATGATCATGTTGCAAGAGGCATCTTAATCATCTTATAACTTTTCCATTTTCTTTTCTTGCACTCAATTTTTTAGGAGTCTACTGTGTTAATCTATCTTTTGACACTTCTTTTTTATTATTACCTTCCCAGGATGATCATTTTAGTCTTTTGGAATAAAACAGTTGTGATTTTACCAGAATTAGAGGCCACTCCTGGGTGACATGAATTGACACACTAAAATGCATTTTTATCTCTTAATCTGATAACTTTCAAGTAGATGTCTTTTATAAACCTCTACCCCAACAAAGGCCACCTTAAAAGTATTTGGAGAGGTTTTTCTTTCTTTGTATTTTGTTTTAATGATAGGTGAGTTTTATTGTTTGGTGTTTCACGTCACCTGACATCCTTCTGTACTAGTGCAAACTCAGTACATCTACAATGACAAGAAAGGGTGTACTTTGGAAATGTAGTGTCATTTGTTTGTATTCCCTCTTGTGTGAATCACAAAATGAATATTCTTATTTTCCAAAATATCCTTTAGCATCTGTGTTGTCTCTGCACAAGTATTAGTAGAAAGAAATTATTGCTTCTTGAATACAGAAACAGTGACAGAATAGGTTAGAATTTTAAGACGCTCCTTAGAGACGTGTGTGTATATTTATGTGTGTGTGTATAAATATATTATAAAGATGTTTTTATAAATTATATACTTAGTTGAACATCTAATGATTAACTGCATATCATATTTTCATATGCATCGTATTTTCTCTCTATTTTTTCCAGAGTGTAGACTGCATTCATCTTTCTTGGGAGCCTCCTGCTTCACCTTCTGGCAATATTTTAGAATATTCTGCCTACTTAGCAATACGTTCCACACAGTTGCAGGAAAACCCAAATCAGCTTGTATTTATGAGAATATATTGTGGTCTCAAGACATCTTGTGTAGTGACTGCTGCCCAGCTTGCAAATGCTCACGTCGATTACACTTCCCGCCCTGCTATAGTGTTCAGGATTTCTGCAAAGAATGAGAGAGGCTATGGACCGGCCACACAAGTTCGATGGCTTCAAGGTAATGTCAGTGTCAGGTGCAGCATGTGAATGGGCCGTAGCTGTGGCAGAGCTGGTCATGGCTCTAGAACCAACCCTTTGCCCAGCGCTGTGCTTTGCACAGCAGCGAAACATAATTTTGTTCTTTACAGAAGTTTTAAGAAAATGCAGTTGTTCAATTTAGCATTGTATTAAACACAAGCACAGGCAAGTAGTGAATGTTGGTTATGGAAGCTTACCTTGTCCCTCACATAATAAAATCTTAGTAAGCTTCCTGATTTCCCTGGTCTTAACTTCAGCTTAACAAAATTTTATTATAATAAGAATCCAGTTCCATGCATGGATGTAATCAAGTTTTTTTTCAACCTTTTTCCCTTCTGTATCAGAGTATTTTTTCATAAAGTGACATAAGGTGCATTTTTGTGATTGATACACTTCTTGAAGTCCGTATTACAGTTATTTAGAATAGGCTTTATCATCTCATTTCTGCACTTGAATTTGTACGAGTTTATGATTAGTTGGGGATGGGAATGGACCAACTGGAAACTAAGCTTCATTTTAAGCCTGTTCAGTTCCCTCATGTCCATCTGTGCAGCTGCATAAATGCTAGTGCCAGCACAAAGACACAAGTGACTGCTGAGAGAGGGACTGTGGCTCCTAATGGCAGCATATAATCTAGAAGCACAGGTGGGGTTTAAGTGATTCTTCAGTCCCAGTTTCCATTTTGTCATCTAGGTAGTTCTTGGTTCCATCAATTGATTGTATTTTTTCAGTTTTGCAAAATAACCTATCACTTTCTGCCTTAGCTTTCTGCTAGCTGCAAGTTGACTTGGCTCAGCAGAAGGTGCTGTGAGCATGGAGGGAGGTTGGGAAGGGAAGAACCAGGGGGGAGCTCTGGTTTGTATCCCCTTCGTTTGCACTGAGCTATTGCTTGGGGTTTAGCTGTCCTGCCAGTCCTTTTGCTGTGATGTGCAGGGTGTAGCTGACAGTGTGCTATTGGGTACCTCACTGTTTGTTTGGAACATGTAATTTCTGAGATGGAGAGCAACAACAGAATCATAGAACGGCCTGGGCTGAAAAAGGACCACAGTGATCATCTAGTTTCAACACCCCTGCTATGTGCAGGATCACAAACCACCAGACCAGGCTGCCCAGAGCCACATCCAGACTGGCCTTGAAGAATTGTCTTGAGTTTAATATTCCAGGGCAGTGTTAACCTTTTATGGGGCAAGGGTTTGGGCCATGATCTGCATCCTAGAACTGTGCAGGAGTTGTTTTGATGCTGTTTGACCTCACGCACTATGTGAAATGATGAAATATCTAACAGTGTCTCCTTCTTTTTGCAGATATGAAAACATCAAGCTCAAAGTAGAGGCAGCGTAACGCATTTCAAGTTTTGAATGTAGTGTTTAATGTAACTCTTGTACTATTTGTAAATGCTACAAATATTTTATTTTTGCATTGTTTTTATCTTAAAAGTATATAACCTTTTTTACGTTTGAAACATCGGCGTTATATAGCCTTGCTCAGGTCTGAGTACCAGATAGGAATGATGCTGAAGATGCTGGGGTGGAGGACCATACTCTATCCGGCAGCTCTTTTTCATAGTGATAGTTAAAATGTCATTAAGTATATCAATTTTCAAATTAAAAAAAATGAATTGGCAGTGGTATTTGAGGTAGAGTTCCCTGTGATTGCCACAGATCTTGCATAGATAATTCAGGAAGATTTAGTATGTGAGAGAATTCTGTTTGGTTTCAGTGTCCTACACCAAATTCTTCGTTGTGGTGTCTGAGTACAAGGCAAAATTTTCAGTTATTATATAGTAACTTAAAACACATAAATATTTTAATATATACTTTTTTGTAAAAAAAAAAAAAAAAAAAAGGACAAAAACAAAAATGATTTTTCTACTCTTTGTAACAAATATAATTCTGAAAGATATCCCCTGAAAATTTAAAAGGAAAAAGATAAACTCCGTCATTTCTCTCATTAGAAAAAAATAAAGTGTAAATTCATTGTAAATGCACTACTAATATTTAGAATGGTCCTTTTGTAGTTGTACAAATCTTCAGCTTGTAAATACCAATGTTTACAAGAGACCTTCCTGGTCTTGTATGAAAACTTCCATGAGATTCATTCTCTTTTTTTTTTTTTTAAACCCATATGCTTTGCTTTTAGCATATGCTTGCTTTTTGCACTAATAATAACTTACCTCATTCCTGTGTTTGTAATCACTTGTGTTGCTTCCATCATGTTTCTGTACAACTTCAATCTGAAAATTTTAACCAAAGTTTAGAATACATGGTAAGCAATTTTGCACATACTGTATGGCAACTATCAACATATTTATTCCAGTTAATCTTCTTAAGTGCTTGTTTGCTTTACCAGTATATTCTACCAATCAAGTTCCGTATCTCCTTTTACTATGCATCATTTTACATTAACTAGCTAGCTGATAAGTTCAACAAGCATTACTTCTAGGAATAGGTTGATCCATTCCTACGCTAAATGGGAAAAAAAAGTGTTCACAGTAGTGAAATAAAGGTAAACATTTTAAATGCTATTTATGTATCTATATATAAACCTATGTTTACCAAAGTGTAGAGGAAAATGGCTGAGTCGGACAAGGTCATTAGGTGAGTAGATGGAGGCACCTAAATGAGATTTATTTTAAAATAAAATCTAAATTACTTACCTGTGCAATGAAGTTTATACTTTGCACTTTAATTTTGCCCTGAATGCCAAAATATTACACATCAAGGTAGGATTGCTTGCCTCTGCCAGTTAAATTTGTCTTAAGAGCATTTGTAAATAAAAATAAAAAAAAACAAAACAAATGATGTGCCTGGTTTGGTGGGAGAAGTATCGCTGCGATGTGAGAGGTGTAACAGCTCACATGCAGAGCAGATTTTATAGCCAAGTTTGAGTTACCCTGCAAGTCAGGGTTGTAACAGAAGTGCTGATACAGCCTTAATTATCACAACACATCACAAGCTATAATAGCATATAAAAAGTGCTGGGGACCATTAATTGCTATAGTAGTGTTAATTGTGGCACAGGAGTAACGCGTGGTCTTTCTCCAGAGAAAAATCCTGTGTTTATAACAATGGCAGATATCCCAGACTCACTTTTAACAGTGTTTATAGTATGAATGTATAGGATTTTTCCAGACGTTAACTGGCTTTAAAATACTTGTGTTTTAATGATCCATTTCATCAGGTATGATCTCACCACCAATACTGTCTGATAATTAAAATTTTACTGTACATGAGCTGTTAACTAGAAAAAATATAACTTGGTTTTCCTTATTAGTACTGTGAAAGAAGCCTTTAGAGAAAACACTTGTGGCTTTGGTTTTGTTGGTTGATAGCTGTGATCGTAGAGTTGTTATTTAAGAATAAAATCTGTTGGGTTATGTCTGGGTGGAGTTTTTTTTGCACTTGGTTTCACATGCTTTGCACAATTTGTTTTTCAGTGGGTGTGTCACAACTACCAAAGGGTACAACTGTGGCGTTTTCAATGAAAGTATGATTTCCTTGTAAGTGTGCTTTCTCCAGCTGACTTGACATGAAATGTCACTTTCTCTTCTTTGTCCGAATTGGGTGATGTTGAATAGTGATCATATGCAAATCCAATTCCTTACAGTTTTACTTTCAAATGCAATTGTGGTACATGCTGTAAAATACACTTTGTGGTCTGTTTTTAGGATTGTGTTTCTAACATGTCTGAATCCCACCTGTTTGCCTGTCAAGTAGATACCAGGCAAATACTGATTGTTCAATTTGAAATTAATTTAAAGAAGACTCTTGACGTCGACTCCTTGGGGATCTGTGTTATCCATTTATTTCACAAATCAATAAACAAGGTGTAAGAAGCTGAAATCTGTCGGGTGGCAGTGCCCGTGTTGTAGGGATCTCTAGGTTTACTCAATTCATGAGGGATGTTGTGCAGGTATGGCAGACGTCACTGCAACTTCACCGTTGGAATATTCTTGTGAAAGTGGGAATAAAGTGAACGAGAACCTACACTTTGTGTTTTCAAAATAATTATAGCAATATCTTTTGAATGTAGTTTGGAGTAGAGCACACGATCATGCCATAAACTCTGAATATAAAATAAGTATTACTGTTGTTATCTGATATTTCAGGATAGCGAATTTGACGTGAACTTAGTCTTACAGCCTGTTACTTAATGACCTCTACAAGGAAACTGACATTTTGTACAATTAAAGTTGATTGGTCTTATTTCAAAGCGTTGTTTGTTCTTTGTAATAAAGTGGTTGTCCTATCAAACGCATTGTAAGCAGTGATGTGTGCGTCTGCTTCTTCCAATAGGATAGTACAGAGAAGAGAGAGTGCTTGGGAGGAATGCGGAGGGTTTCTTGGTGAGTATTGTAAGACTGAGTGTTACTCTTTCATAAAAAGCATTTCCTTTTTTGGTTCTTGGTTCTTCCCTTTTGGACTTCTTGGTTACGTTATGGTCTGTTCAGCTGTTTGGGTTTTTGAATTTCCTAACTGAGGTCTCCCAGTTCCCCACCACAACCAGCTCCTCTCCTGTGCTCTCCACCTGTTCTCTACCCCTTCTGTGCCTTTGTGCCGTGCAGTTTGCTGACTGCCCTGTGACATGACTTTTCAAAATTAATTCTCCATCTAAGCAGCAGCTGTGTTCAAAAGGAATGGCAAGGAGTTTTGCTACAGTTTGTGAAAAGGATGGGGTTTGAGGAAGTGCTTAATGTGCTCAGAAAGCTTCTAATGTCCATCTCTGCTCCGAATGCTAGCGGCTATGGGCAAGCTCCTGAATTTGTATTGCCATTGGCTATGGGGATGTCCTGGGAAGAGAAGTACCACGTTTCAGCCCCCAAACACAAGCTCCTTGATTGAGGCTGGTTTTGATTTGCTGTCATTGCTTTACTGAGGGAGCTCTTGCGTTGCACAAGCATCTGCTTTTAATATATGACATCATTGCTGAGTTGGTGTAGCAGCTCTTTAAAATGAAAAATAAGGCTCAGATATGGTATCTTCAAAGGGAAATAGAAGAATTTCAGTGTGTCCCAAATGGTACATAGTGGTGAGAGAATTATTAGTGTATCTGGCAGAACAGTACAGTGCTGTGAGCTACAGGTGAAAGTAATCAATTGGAAATTGCTTTCAAGTGGTTCTTGAAATATGCGGCAGGGTGTGTGCCATCCTGTTTCCTCGGGTTTGCCTCTCGCTTTCTTTTGGACCTTGACATTACTTTGTATGGTCCTGCAGGTTTGTTGTTGTGTGTAAATCCCCTCGTGTTCATCCAACTTAGAACAGTGTCAAAGCCATAGGTGCAATTTAAGTGTGATTTATCAGTGAGTTGGGATTTGGCTTGGTATCACAGACTTCAGTCAGGAAAGGCCAACAGTGTTCTGGGCTGCATTAAAAAAAGAGGTGGCCAGTAGGGAGAGGCTCTTGTGAGGCTCTTGTACTGCATCCAGGCCTGGGGCCCCCAGTACAGGAAAGACGTAGGGCTCTTGGAGTGGGTCCAGAGGAGGGCCACTAAGATGATCAGAGGGCTGGAGCACCTCTCCTATGAGGAAAGGTTGAGGGAAATGGGTTTGTTTAGATTGGAGAAGTGAAGGCTCTGGGGAGACCTCATTGTGGCCTTCCAGTACTTGAAGGGAAAGTATAAACAGGAGGGAGAACGGCTGTTTATGAGGGTGAATAGTGATAGGACAAGGGGGAATGGTTTTAAACCATTAGAGAGGTTAGGTTACATATTAGGAGGAAGTTCTTCACACAGAGGGTGGTGACACTGGAACAGGTTGCCCAAGGAGGCTGTGGATGCCCCATCCCAGGAGGCTTTCAAGGCCAGGCTGGATGTGGCTCTGGGCAGCCTGGTCTGGTGGTTGGCGACCCTGCACATAGCAGGGGGGGTTGAAACTCAATGATCATTGTGGTCATTTTCAACCCAGGTCATTCCATGATTCTATGATTCTAATTTTCATATAGATTTCATACAGATTAAATAGAATTCTATTGTATTAAGGGATAACAGTGTTAATGAAAGATATTAACATCCTTACTTGATAGAATTGGCAAATTCTGCTATGTCTTTTTTTTTATTTTCTAGAATCTATGCTCCCTTCCTATAAAGGAACAGGCTTAAATAATTCACAAGGTAAGAAGTCAGTATATGAAATAGTAAATAGAAGGCATCTTCTTCATTCAGAAAGTTTAAGCAAGAGAGGTAGATAAATGGAAGTTGTGGCCCTCAGTCCAAGAAAATACAAAAGGTAATAGCTGCCAAAGGCAAAGGATGCCTTGCTGGCAAAGCTGTGCAGATCTATGGCCAACAGCCTGATCTCAGCTATTATAAACATGGATCTGGTATGTGTTTATAAATATCTAAAGAGAGATCAGAGGCAAATGGATGAGGCCAGGCTCTTCTTGGTGGTGTGCAGCGATAGGACAAGGAGCGATGGCCTAAAAGTTGGACATAGAATGTTCTGTACTAATGTGTGGAAGAACTTTTACACAGTAAAGGTGACGGAGCACTGGAACAGGTCCCAGAGAGGTTGTGGAGTCTCCTATGGAGATGTTGAAGACCTCTCTGAACACCTACCTGTGCAATCTATCGTAGGGTACTTGCCTTGACGGGGGGTCAGATAGAGGGACCTCTTGAGGTCCCTTCCAACCACCGTGATTCTGTGATTAAGCAGACTTAGTAAGTCCTATTCTTACAGAGATCTTAGGGATATTAAGTACTAACAATGTACGTTCCTTGAGTTGATGCGCCTTTATCCAATTTAAGCAATTATGAGCAGAGTTTTGAGGCTCAAGTGGGACTGAATGCGCAGTGCCTTGCATCTCAGCCACTGCAGGCTTTGGGAGCATTTTTCTGCAAGCCCCTGGTAGCAATCCTAAATGGGCAGTCCTACAGGTTACCCTGAACATGCCACTCCTGGCAGATTACAGAGAAGCACAAGGCAGGAACATGCACCTGGGAGAGCTAACAGGGTGCAGAGCACTGGTGTGTGTAGAGCATGTGGACTCCAACAGCCAGGGCTCTGCAAGTCAAAGAGCAGCAGGTGAGCTGGAAGTCCAATGCCAGCTTGAAGTTGCTCTGGAATAACTGATCTTCTGTTAAAGGTCACCTTACTGACAGCCTTTTGTCAGCCCTCCCATTCGCTCACCCCAGCTGTCTGCAGATAGAGCATTCTCCCACCACAGTGTTGGGAAAGTGGCCTTGCATCTCCATTGAGGTTTGGATTAGTAGACTCAGGCATCTGCCTGGGCTTGGATTTGTGGCCAGGGCAGAGGAGTTGAGTGTCTCAGCAACAAACCCACATATCCTGGTGTGATGCTCTTCTCTCCAGTGATGGGAGCTGAACACTGATGGGGGTCAATGATGTGCATTTGGGGTGAGTCCTGAGCCACATCCCACCACGATTTGTTAGCCAGAAACCACCCTTTTACAGAGATCTCTCCCAGAAGTCAGCTGCTGTCTCTGTTCCTGGAGGAGCTAAATCAGATTCCGTCTTAGGCACACAAATTCAATTATCAGCCTGCAGAACGCTGCTCTCCCCTACAGATTTAAACCCTCAGTAGTTTTCTCTCATACAAACGCAAATCAGGTGTCTCATCGTGCCTGATAAATGGATCCTACTGCCCCATGTGCTGCATTAAGATATTGCAGGAAATTACCCTGGCAAGTTGCCTGGGGTTTTCTTAGAGCAGGATTGCTGTCTCCCTCTGAGCTGCTGTGTGCTGCCTCTTGCTGAAGACTGCAACTCAATAAGCTTGCTGCAGCTGGCACCAACGTGGAGACTGTTGTACATATGAGCAAACCACTCACTCCCCAGGGGGTTTGGCTGTGGTTGTAAGCGTGGAATTTGCACTGAGTTTCCATAGAGCTTCACATTAAATTTTTACATCCAGAGGGTCAGACATGGCACTTAGCCCCTCACCACACCAATTCACAAATCAATAGGTACACAGATCAATATGCCACTGCTTACGTATAATTTGGATAAGGCCCTGGGCACCCTGATCTAGCTGCAGTGGTCACTGCAGGGGAGTTTGACTAGATGGCCCTCAGAGGTCCTTTTCAACTCTAAAGAATCTGTTATTCTATTAATGTTTTTCAGCATTTTGAAGGATGAAAGTGTGAGTGACCACACCTTATTTTCAAGGAGGAGAATTTCAAAGAGGAGCAAAGGGCCCATGTTCTGAGTGAGGCACCCTTCTACCATCATTCTTCATTCCACTAAACCTTTTGGAAAAAGGAGCGTAAAATAACCATTGCCTGAATTATCAACATTTACCTTCTTCCTATGGACTGCTTGGACTGAATAGAAGATAGTTCTTTATGGCATTATTCATCCCAGAATTGATGTGTGGGGCTTCTTTGATTTACAAATAGAAGAAAATTCACTTCACATTTAAGTGAAAAAAATCCATTATTTTATTCAGTACAAATTGAAATTGAAAAAGGTCTGGCTTGCATGATCTGAGAATGCAGCAATTTACAAGCAAGTTGTCTTCTCTCTTTAAATAGAATGGAAGCAGCAAGTCTGCATGACAACTGGAACATTAATCACACCCAAAGCTCTACAAAATGAAGAATTTTAAGCTACGAGCAAGGCTGCTGCCAGCTCTCATCATGACAGCGAGATGCTGGGGAAAGGCCTTTGGCTTTCCCCTATGCTCAGTGTCGTTCTGCACTGAAGCAGCTCCTGTGCGTGTGCAGTGGCCCATATGTTCTCCTCCTGCTGACAGCAGGAGAGGAATCAATCTCTATCCTTCTGCACCTATAGCTGCTTATGGCACATTAGTGGGCATCATCTCAGAACGACAGTGGGGGGCATCTGCTTATCTGACATGATTCACAGTGCACTTACGAGGCGTTTCAAGGAAGACAGCTTTCTGAAGCATCACACTGATTTTTGGCTACAAAGCAGATAAGCATGCTCAGCTGATGCTTGTGATGTCACACCTCACATTTCCCAAACACCCATTTAGTGTGCAGCAAAGACCAGAACCAAGGTACAAACAGAACAGTAAAGACACATGCTTGCATCAGCAAGATTGGTAAAGGCAGAGCACCAGCTTCCACTGAACATCCAATGAAAACATGGAGCCGAAGAACTCCAAGCTTAGCTTTCCTCATGATTGCATTTTGATTACAGGTATGGTATTTCCGTGCCTTTTTTGTTCTGGGCCCACTGTATGAGTGTCACAAGGATTGTTAAGTTAAGGCAGAAAAATTCGTGCCATGGAGAGGTACCTGAGAAAGTCACTGTTGGAAAAGAGGTCTCTGACTCTCATTGCTATTTGTTTCAAGCATCCTTTTTCTCAGCTTCTGGCACAGGCTCAGTTCTGAGCTGTTTTAGTTCAAACAAAACACTCGGACAACCAAAAAGACTGCAATTATACAGCAGCAGATGGAATGCAGCAGGAACAGTCACTGCCATTTATGATATAAGCTACTTTTAATGATTGGGTACTGACAAGTAAGAAGGTGAGAATATGTGAAGGGTTGGTTGAGCTGTGGTTGTGTTAACTACCATTGACTGGTATAAATTTATTATTTCCATACATAGGACAATATGTGCTTTATCAGCACTATAACACCCTACAAACAATTACTTTCACAGGTGTATTTTCAAGAAAAGAATGGAACAAGGGTGATGCAGCTTTGTCCCTCAACCACATGGAGTGGGGTGGGGGAGGAAGTATAGGAAGAGCAAAACAAAGCAGTATTGACTCCTTTGCTCTGATGATAGTTCATAAAGCACGAACTCAAGAGAACTCCTTAACCTAAGCTCACAGAAGAGCAGGCAGAGCAAAAAAGATGCAATTGATCTCACGCAAATGAGTCAGACATCCTTCACTCCCTTTCTACACATCCAGCTGCCAAACCTCTAGCTTCTCCTTAGCAGTAATCACAGCTTTGCAGCCAAATTTGCAACGGGAAAAGGGTATGGCAGCCTTATAGAAACTGAATACAAACCAAAGGGGCTCCTGTAGTGAATGTGCTGTCCAGTTGTACATTTAATGAAAAATTCCATTTGTTTAGATGTGTAGCTGCTGAAGAACAGCAGACTGCCATAAACCCCAGAACATCTGCCTGGACTGCCACAGCATAACACTGCGCCTCCCCTAGAGGCTCTGCCAGCATCATGCTGGCTTGTAAGAACACTGTTTAAATCCACACATACATAACATTTTTGGAGTAGCACAGAATTGGCTATTTCAGGCTTCTGAGATGGCTCAGTTGAGATATTTTTCCAGTATTAAGTGGTTACTTTTTTGTTTAAAGACAAAACCAACAAGAAATAGTATGGCAATGAAGGAAAGGCGTGATTTGTTTAAATTAATAACAGGTAAATGGAAGAATAACGATTACACTTTAGTCTCTTGCAAGCAGTAGAAAAAACCAGAAGGTTCCAAGTTGCAGGCTATTACTAAACCCACCACCCCTGTCTTAACAGGCTAAGGAAGGGCATCTAACAGAATCACCCACCTAGCTATTAAAGAAACAGCAATGTTACCAAGAACAGTTTGCTAAATATGCAGAACTACATTCTCTAGTTACGAGTTTATTGCAAAACCAGAAAAGAGACAGCAAAGTTGAAGTCTATCATTCACTGCAGATTTGTACCACTTGTCCCAGTTTCAGTCACTCGCACATACGCGCTCACACACACACTGTACACAGAGAGCTGCTAACACATTTGAGTTCCCACAGTCTCACAAGCAACCTGAAAACATTTCAGTAAAAAGTTAAAATGAGGTCTCTTACCACAAGGACTATAAAATCCCCCCCACCCCTCACTACCGTAGAATTTCTAAGTTTTGGATACTAAAAACCATACATAAAAAGGAAGAGCTATTTTCAGTAGCACAAAGACCACCTTAAACATACCAAAGTCAGTCTAAGGAGTTAATGCGACTGAAAAAGAATGAAATGAAGACCTGCATCATACACCATCAGTGTTTTAATTAACACTGTTGATTAGCTCTAAGTCTCTAACCGTAGTAGAGCGTCGCTTGTTTCTGATTTACTTCTAAGTTTCAAGTTACATAAAAAAAACAGTTGTAGCAATTCCTCTGAGCTGCAGTTTTGTGAGAAAAAGTCCCTTTCAAAATTTCAATAAATATAATGACATCTAAAGTTAGCTGAGGTTGTCATGCAAGACAAGTTACATAACCAAGACCAACTCAATCTTTATAAGAAAGGCAACTTGCATTCAAAAATGAACTTTACCCTTACAATTTTATTCAAAGGGTAAACATGAATTAACCCAGCTGTTTACCTGAATTACAAAAGTAACATGATTCAATATGAAAATAAGAAACTGTCTACAAATCTCTGACAGTAATAAATTGCAATATACAATGCATACAGGAGTTATACAGAGCAACAAACTCTTGTACAAAACAAAAATACTTTAATACCTTTAAAATCCAATTTGTTTCTTTAAAATTATTCATGAAAAAGATTTGAGTCAGAATTCATACCTCAATTAGTCAAGCTTCAGGTAGCTACATTACAGCTATTTAATATACAAAGAGAGAAATCTCTTCACCAGTCATTAAAACTGTCTTTTCATTAGAGTTGCACAGCTTCTGCATCTCACGTTCCCAGATCCAAAGTTTTCTTCAAATCATGAGAACTGAATTTGTTGAACACCAGAGATCTGGAGAAAGAAAATGGAAGCTTACATTCAATTTCACACGTTTTGAAACAGCATCACCATCAGCAGCCTCGAGTTGTCAGAGCACTGGAATGTCACAACAGCCACCAAAGTACTAAAAATATCATCAGTTTTTGCCTTTCAGAGCAAGGCAGCTGAGTTAGCATTTGAATTTTTGCAGCAGAAGGGAGAACAGATGATAGGATACTGTACCTGCTGATACGATGTTGTATAGACCATAACATTCTGCTGCTGGCCGTCTGTAGTTATTAAGCCTGCTGGCAACTGATTAGCTGAAAGAAAAAGCATTTTAAGGAAGTTAGACAAGAACCATGGGATACATGGAGCCCTGTTTGAAGTGTGTATTACCTACAAAACATTTAGTTGTGGTATGCTCTGGGTTTGTGGAACAGCTTCTCTCATGACAGCTACATCAGCCATGCTCGTTACCAAGTGCTACATATCTCCATCAGCAGTTCAGAACCTAAATTCAGCTGGATTTTGCATCAGATAAGCTAGAAGTAAGACACGTATCTGAGGTAGAACATACACAGCAGTACACTGAGACTGGATTTTGCCATCTGACCACCAAAAAAAGTAATCTCCAACATTCAATACTCTAAGAAATCTGGAGAATTCAGAGTTTGCTTTGTTTAGACATAAGGTTAGCACTTGAGTTCCTCATACGTGTGTATGCTCAGTGAAAAAGCAGTACTTCTTTATAAAAGCTCTAACGTGGAGGCAGCTGACATTATGCTGGATGACTTTGGCATGCCTTTCAGGTTACCACACAAGAGCTCTGAATTTTATAGAGGAAAGATGAGGCCAATGAACTGAGTAAAAAGTACTTCTGACATTTATAAAGAAAATTCAGGGATGATGCCCTAAGCCAAACCCTTACAGTACTGCATACGGTAAGCTCTGTGACATTCAGAGTAACTACGTGTTGCAAGTGTTAGCTGGAAGCAAAGCTTCCAAGTTGTAAGTTAAGTTGCTATACAGCATAGCACTCTGTATAAGAGGCAAAACCCATAAAAATATCAAAACAGTGCAATCCTAACAGCTTCAATACAGAAGCTGAAGCTTGTTTTTGCTTACCTTCATTGTATTAACTTTCAAACCCTTAAGTTAGCAAGTTAAGTGAGGCTTTAAAGATCTCTACAGATCTAGACAGATTTAAAATCATGGCACTCTTCACCACATATGTTGAACAGCTTAATGCCAGCTCTCTGACCCAGATCTGGTGCAGATCTATGAGGAAGAACTACGGGCTATGCTGCAGCAGCACAGCTATTACTGCTGCTGCGAGACCACAGCCCTAAAGGGATCTATAGCTGCGCCTCTACAGAGAAGAAATGCCCGCAGCATGTGACACCATCACTCACTTCAAAGAAATCCCCCTCCCTGCTGCCTTTCTGCTACTGCAACATCTCCCTGGGCATCCTGCCAACACTGACTATTCTCTTCCAAAGCCTCTCTCTTCAAATCACAGCAAATTAACGCTTATTTCATAGGGCACTCTGAGCCTCCCAGGCCTGGGCTATTTGAAAAAGGGACAAGGAACAGATCTTCAGCCTTCTGCCACTTAATGGTATAATAATAATAATATAGTATCTGATTTTTTGGGACAGATGATCCACAGATGGAACAGGAATCCTTTTTTCAGTTGTACAATTCTGTGATTTGTATTTGTGTGTGTGTGTGTGTGTGTGTGTGTGTGTGTGTGTGTGTGTGTGTGCGCAAACAGACCACAAGCATCTCAGCTGCAATCCAGATGAATAAATTGGGCCTAGTTCATGTCTTACTGCTTCTGAACCAAAAGAGCTATTCCGTAAGACAATGCAGATAAAGGTTAGGAAATCCAAGTAGTAAATTCTTAATTGTAAATTAAAAGAATAAAACCCACAAAACAAACAAACAAAAAAATCTTACATCTTTCATTGCAATCCATGTTTAAGTGTAGAGGAAAATACTGGCACTAATGTATGTGCTAAGAAGTCTCCCACAGTTGACACGAGTTATTACTACTGTGTCAGTATTTCCCACTGTCTTCATTTTGATATAAATTCTGATTGGGAAAAGTCAGAAAAGCAGAGGGTATCCTCCAGACTTCTCAAATAGAAGGCTCAGTGGATCATAGATACAACACAGGTGGCCAGCCCAGAATCTCTTCCTTAGTTAAGAATTATCATGTCTACAGGACGCATTATTTTTAGAAAACTCGTAATGATAATGAAAATAACTAAAGAGTATTACTTACTAAATGCTTCTTCTGTGAGCTCCTCGCTTAAACCATCTCCAGTTGTAACTGTTCCCCCAATTCCCTTTTCTCCTTTCATTGCCTGGACAGGAGAAAAAGGCTCCATATTAGAGCATTCTTGGCATGAGATTGCTTGAAGAATCCAAGGTTTGGAAGTTGAGCTGGACTTTGAAATCCAAGATCTACAAAACTTGTATTTAAGACTGTGCATAATACAAGAATACGTAAAGGGCATTTTTTCATCTTAGTCATACTCCTCAGAAACCAAAACTCTACAAAATTAATATCGTGTAGTTCTAGAAGTTTACAACTTTTGCACAAGGTCAGGGATGTGCAGCAATCCAGAAGTAGCAGCTAGCATGTTTACATGGAATCACAGTCTTGGAACTAGTGAGTGCACAACCTTTGCTCACCAACCACATTCAAGTGCCATCATCATACAACTAAGGGTTGACATTTAAAACCAACATATTGGATTTCTTTCCCTACAGCAAGGACTGCAGCCAGAAAGGATATCAGCACAGAAAGCCAAGGCTCCCAGTCATCTGTGTGTAGTTCTTTAATTATGAAGTTTGACGATCTGTACTATTATATAAGAACCTGTAGAAAAATACTTAAAATACTAAAAACATATTTTAAAAAAAAATTCTCTGCAACCGTTTGATGGAGAATAAACACATAAGCTACAAAAGAGAAACCTTCATGCAGTACCTGACAGAAGACAGAATGCAGGCTTGAAACTGATGGCCAGAACAGTCCAAACCACCCAAAACCATTTAAAAAATAATCTCAATACTCTGCTACCATGGCATACACATCTGCAAAAGATGGACATTTCAGAAGAGCAGAACAGATCCACTTCAGACTTCCCCAGAAGTAGCACAACTAGGTAGGCATCACTTGCTTTAATTAAAGCACATGCCTGTGCCATCAGAAGTGTTGTTACTGCTATACGGAAGTGGGAAAAGACAGCAGACAGCCGTGCTTCAATTTTTAGATTTCACCTCCTGTTACTCAGTTAAACACCCTCTCACAGTCCATCATAACAAATGACCTCCTGGGAAGTGGAAACTTCAAGTGCTATCAGCAAATTAAACACTGCTATGGAGTCTAGTCCTGTTAATTGAAAAACTTGGATTTACAGAACAGAGAACATCTGAAGAGCATCTCGTCCTACAGCAGTGCCAATTCAGACCTCCCTGCTTCACTCATGTCAGTAAAGCCTCTTTCCATGATTATTTTAACCCTGAACAATTTCTTCATTCAAGATTGTAAGGAAGAGAGGTCATCGGATGAAAATGCCTTTGATTTGTTTGGCTCCATCTGGTACTTTGAGGCAGCAGAATACAGAATAAAGAAATAGAATTTTCTTTAGTCTCCAGGTAGGAGGAAGTGGGAAAAAAATCCCAATTAAATTGCTGAAAGGGTATAAAATAAAAAAAAAAAAGGTCATTTTCTGCTAGAGAAAGGATAAAGGAAAATGCCTGGATCGCATACCTAGCAGATACAAAGTATCAAAAGTAAATTAACAGACAAGCAATAACAAAGAGAAAATTGGAACACCACTGTAATAAACAGTCCTTCATTTGAATCATTATTCCAACATGAGAAAAAACTTTTTCAGATCCAAAGCCCAAACAGTGGGCATTAGGCCAGATCCTCAGAGGATGCCATCCAGTAGTTTTATTGATTGAACCCAAAGATCAAATTAAGTACTCTTTATAGGTGTTTTTAAAGAATTTAGTGATTTACTTCCATATATATTACAGAAGTTACTCAGTGGAAGCTTTAACTACTTTGAATCAGCAAGTCTAATCAAAATGCTTGCTTATTCTTTTTTCCTGAGAGCTTCTGAAACATTTTAAAATGCTATATTAGTCCCTATTATTCCCTGACAATTACTGTGAGATACTGTGCAAGTTAGCCATTACAGAACTCTGACAAAGGGCTAAGAATAAACACAATCGGGACAAATAAAAGAGGATACAGTGAAGTATAGACCAACCTCTCTGAATTTTTGGAGGTATAACTTCAGAGGCTCAACATAGCTATCAAATCCCAAGGTAGACATGGCAAAGAGAATATCCTCCCCATTGATGGTCTTTCTTTTCTCTTGGTGACACCTCTCACTTGCTTCTGACGTTATAAAGCTGATGAATTCACTTACACACTCTTGCACACATTCTTTTGCATCCTTAGCAATCTAGAGAGGAAAAGTATCATAAAATGATTAAGATCTGAGAAAACTAAAAATAAATAATTAAAAAAAAACAAGAACGTTAGATAGTAACAGATAATAAAGGAAGCATCCCACCATCTGGTGATGTTGCCATTTAGGTATGTATGTGAGATAGCCACTGGATGTCATCACTACTCTATGTAAGCACAGCTGTAATGGTTTTAAATGAAGTTTCACTATTTCAGCAGAACTGTCAGCATTTTTTGAACTCATAATTGTGCTCTGTATGAAGTTTCATATATACAGATGCATATCAATATTGTGCCTGGATTTGCTTACCTACTCCTCTTCTTCAAACCTACTCATTACAATGTCACAGCCCACTTACACCTTCCTTTCAATAGACCAACAGTTCCAACCCACTGTACATTCTCACCAACCTGACCATGATGTGTTTTTTGTTTTTTTGGTTTTTTTTTTTTACCCTGACTGGATTCAGGGACTGAAATACATGCCTAGCAGCAAGCTCCTCTAGTGCTATAATACTCCTGTATAAATTTTCCAAATGAGAATTCAGCTGAAGAAACACATGCCTCTGGCAAGAATGAAATAAATATATTTGATTCTGCTTTTCAGCTGGACAAAGTAATTTACCTCACTTAAAATAACAGCAAGCATTGCTCAAGATTATTAGGAAAGCTGACAGGAGCCAACTGAAGGATTATAATAATTAAGATCCTTATTCTTCACATGAAAAGAACCTGTTTGTATTCCCCTTAAAATGACAAACTGGTAACTATGCAAGATCTTCAATTCCTCTGATATTTTCAGAGGAATAGAGCCAGATTTTCAGAAATACTCATCAGCCAACAGCTTCCCTTGCAGCTTTTCACAAAGACCTCCCTGATTTTTCAAGAGAGCTTGGCATCCCATATGCTGAATTCTTGAGAAAAATCTCATCTTGATTGCTAAAAATTTATGACAATATGGACCAGTGAAGAAATTTTCACAGCAAAGATAAAAATGTAACACCCAGATTTCCAGAAAGCCCTGAACACTGTGAAAGTACGAGCAGATGCAATAAAATTATGCCTTGCTTCTATTTGAAGGAATGTCAAAAAAAAAAAAAAAGTCAGCCTTAGCTAGAAGTTAAAGCAGCAAGTAATAGGAGCCCTGCAAAGTTTTAACATAAATAGGTAGAACATTTAAATGCTTATCCTATTGCCAGCTCAGAATTGATTTAAGAGTCTATTCTTAGAAGAAAGAAATAAAATAAGTCTTCCAATACCTGGCCTTGCTTGCTATGTGATATAAAGCAGGCTCTTAGTCTTCTATTGCCTGAATCTTTACATATCCAAATGCTAAAATGACCTGAGTGTTCTCTTTCCTTCGGGAAGAGAAATGGATTCTTATTTCATCCAAAAAGTTCCACTTATTCCACATTTTAAACTACTCAAAGCAGAAAATTATTTTTCTTAGGACATAATTCCATAGAAAAAGTTCTTAGTGATATGGGATTGTCATCAAGTCTGACCCGCTGACAACATCAGAGAAAAGATCTTTGAAAAAATAATGCCCTTGAAAGCCCTATAAGAGCCCTGTTGCAGTTCCTGTAATTACGGAAATTACAGTTCACTCAGAGAAAGGAACAAAACTCAATACTAGATTTTCTTTAGAAGATGAGAACATTACCTTTCCTGTTTGGGGTATGGCGTTCTTCATTATCCTTGCCACATTTGCAATTGGAAGATAGATATCTTGTTCTCTAAAACTCTCTTTTGAACCATTTGTATCTTCATGATCATTCATGCTGTCCTCTGTGTCTGAAGAAGTTAACAGAAATTGTATTTTGGTAGGTAACAGGCAATAAGTCAAGTTTAAAATCTTAAACTGAAAGATGAATGACTTTTGAAAGCCCACTGTATTAACAACGGAGAAGTAACTAAAATGAAAACAACAAAAAAAAACAAACCCACAGATGATAGATATAATACCACAGTACCTTCATGTGTGTTTGGTACCATACTTATCTCATTATACACAGAAATGTCATGTCAAAACAAGAACTCTTTCCTAGAAAGGCAAGGTTTTTATCATTACCCCTAGGGACTCAGTATCAACATTGATAACTCCCACACCCACCTTCAGATTGCAGGAAAAATGCTTTATATAGTAAGGCATTATGAATGCAAACAATTATCAATTCTTAGCGTGGAAATGACAGCAGAGAACTTTACAAGAACTGAAATGAAATTATATAGAGACAAAAATAATAATATTTACATTTCTTACCATCATGAGGCTGTATCACATAGTGACTGCCACCAATGTAATCTCCAGCAATTCCTAACTGAGAAGCATCCGTTGTGGAGCTATCACCATCCATCTAAAACCAGAAGAAGCAATGCTTTCAGGTACGTTTGTTATAAGCTAAGAGCAATTGCTGCTGGAAAACAGCACTTCAATAAACCTACTATGACAACCAATTGTTACAGCCTGAATATTTTGCTATTTGAGAACTCTCATAGTTGCTGCACTTTACTGACTGCTTTGACTTTGATCATTCCTTCAGATGCAACACAGTGAAGAGCAATTCCTGCAGCTATTTCTCATTCATACAAAAAAGCTAAGTTAAATAACTTAGCTAAAGAGAGGTAGCTTCATGTATTCCATTAAAACAAAGGTTAGCACTTCCTAATAGCAGTTTTGGTTTTACTTTGTTTTTTTGTTTTGTTTTTTTAAATGACAACCTATAGCCCATCTCCAGATCATGTATCAGGGCCAAGCATCCTTATGAATGAAAAAGCAAAATCCCAGGCAATCAGATTAAACTGCAACATCGTGAATTTGAACAACCTTGACTTTTTTCTTGTTGATGCCTTGAAAATAAATTTTTGCAGAGCATTTAGTTCCCATAAATCTCAAATATCACTTTTCTGTTTTTGTTTTCACCTATGTAAGATTGTAATGATGCTGCTTCTAGAGAGCAGAAGCAATGCAAAAAAAAAAAAAAAAAAAATCCCCAAAAACTGTTGGAAGGGGCTCTCAGTGTGTGCAGAATTCTTTCTACAATGGCTCAGATACCTAGAGATATTTTTGAGCACCTTTCCACACACAGCACCAGATTTCCCTTCACCTCAGACTTTCTTGGCTGTGGATGCCACACACTTCTGATAACATTTTGCTCTTTACCTACTCACTGTCATCCCCATTCTATGCCCTGAAAGGCAGCAGAGGAAGGGAGGGAGGAAGGCATTTGACTGTGCTGTGGTCACTGCCAATGAGAGCCTGCAGCTCCCATTGGCCCAAAAGAGGGTGAGGGTGAGACAGGCCTGTGCTATTTTTACACCTCCCAGAAATATGAGAAACCAAACCTCTCTCAAATCTGAGCTCTGTGGCTGCAAGGGCTGAGGTTTTGCTTACAAATGTTGAAGCAACATCCGGTGCCATGCTCAGCCACAGACGCACATGAAACCTGAGCACTGCAGGCATTCACAGCAGCATTACATAGCTGGATGCAGCCATAGGAGCTGCTTAAAGGAAGAACTCTTCTACCTCTTCTCCAGTGCACAGCACTGCCCACTGCTCCCTGTAAAGTACTTCTGGTCCTTTCTGATGGGCTTTTAAAAGTTTCATTTCACACACAGCAGCTCTGTCGGAAGAAGGGCAGCGCCTTAAGCTTTACCTTCCTCATGCCAGGTGTCACAGCAGACTGCTTTGTCTGTGTGCTGCAGGCTCTTTGTAAGAAGACTTCACTTCCCAGTTTTCCAGTGTCCAGAGTTTGCTTACTCAGCTCACTGTAACAACTGTGAAAAGGTAACCGCAATCCTGAGCATCAAGAACACCAAAACTGATACTGCCTTTCCTCAGAACAGCCACGCCACTCTTTTCCTGTAATTCAAAGTGGCTATGTTCTGTAGTCTGCTAAATCCCAAAAGCTACTTCCAAAATTAATTTGGGATTTTCTGGTGGTCTCATTCTCAGAGCTCAGTTTCAGCTCTGGTCCCTGTTCAAATTTAACTCAGAATTATAGACTTCACAAATCCTAAGCGTGAAACTCATTCAGCCGCAGTTCTAGCTGAAATGCCTTAAGGTTCCTCCACAGCCTTCTATGAAGCGTGTCTTTCAAGATACTATGATGGGATAGCTCACCCATTCTGCAAGCTGCCCCCCCCCTTATCCTCACAGCCAAGTCCCAGTAACATTGCTTAGGAAACTCCCATTGCTTTCATCAGCTCTACTCGCCTTCAAAGGACAACTCTTGTTTGAATCTCTTCTCAAAGCCCACTGCATCTCTTGGCACTTTTGACCTCATTAGATTAATGCATTTTTCAGGTACCGTTTTTGCTTTTGTTCTCTTCTGTGTCCACATTTCCATTTTTACTTATGTCACCTGATAATTAGTAAGGCTTTTTTTTGTGTGTGGAAGCTTATCACCATTGCAAATCAAAACCAGCAATTAGATCTGCAGAACTGAAAAGAAAAGGCTTGCGCAAAAGAAATAGGTAGATCTGTCCCAGATAAAGCAAACAGGCACTGGCAGCCCAATACATACTGAAATTATTTCTGTGGTTATTACTGTGGGAAAGGTTTTTAAGACAACCACAGCACAGTGGTTGTATGGACAGTGTAACACCTTTCTGCACAGCCAAGTCCTAATGCAAGAGCATGGGATAATTCAGTTATCTCACAACGAATACAATTACTTGTTGCAGGTATTACAGGTTCAGCTTCAGATGGTCAGAACTCAAGTAGACATTTGGATCACCGCTTGTTTAAGCAGCCATCTCATCCCAGTGCCCACAGTACATAACCACATAATCTAATGTCGAGAAAATACTGCTTTAAGTACAACATTTCTAATTAATTGCCTTTTTAAAAAGGAAAAGTTCTCAGTATCACTGGACTTGCTCTAAGAAAACGCTGAGAATCACAGAAGCATTTAGTTAGGAAAGAGCCTTCAGATCACCAACGCCAACCATGCATTCTGCCTGTCCCTCCTACCTCTAATAAAGGAGACCATTACCAGGAAGATACAAATTAACAGCTCAGGGAAAGTAACACCAGAAATATTTTGAAAGGGAAACACTTCAGATCAAAGACATCAAAGAAAACTCAATGACAAGTGAAAGTGAATGCACGTACAGCTTTTCACTATCATCTCGTAGGAAGTTTTCTGGAGGATGCTTAAAAAATATGCTTCTGTCAGCAGCCCACAACTCACACAGTTCCTAGAATACATCTACACAGAACTGATAAATCCTCACTACCCTGAAGTAAATCTTGCATCCTGCTTAATCTAAAAAACTCTCCTAAAGAGCAGTATCTGCAGCTCTGCTATAGGGTAACTCTGCAACAATGCAACCCTGAGCTGTTTGAGCTGAGAGGATGGGTCTGATGCTTTCATCAGCATACAAGGGAATAATGGAACAAAAGCTAGAAAGAGCTTGTCTTCAGAATTACCTGACAACAGTTTGCAGAACTGGTCTCTCAAGGGAAACCAAGTACCTCTTTGGCTCTAAGCACCATGCAGTATTTATGCAGCTCATCCCTCTCTCAGAACTGCTACTCCAAATGAGGGACAGCAGAAAATTCTATGCCACTGACTGAAGAATGAGGTGCCTTCTTCGTAGCTGCCACGGAAGCAGGACAGATAAGGTAACTAAAGGTATAGGTAGTTAACTATATCAGCCACTGTAGTTTTATTTTGCCACCAGACCTCACCACAGGAGATGTAAACCTGAGAAGCGGCATGTGACATCCAGTGGGGACAACAAGGTTTTATCTGAGCTTTCTGCACCCTCACTTGCTCTACCTACAGAGAAAATTTCTGACTGTAAATACAGTATTAATTCCCTTTTATTGCCAGTGATTTCTCCACTGAATTCTCACCTGGCAGCAAAGCCTCCCACAGCAGGAAATGCTGCCTGGTAAACGCATCCACAGGCACAGTGCATCACTCCAGCACATCCGCAGAAACATAAAGCTAAAACCCCTTGGCACATGCCTAGAACACAAACAGATGCCGCCCTGCCTCTCCCAATCTCTAGCTCCTCTCATCTCTCAATACAACGTTTTTCCCAACAGCAGAATGGTGTCAGGAACAGCAGACTGATGCTGAGAGGACCTGACAGCTTCACTAACACTCGTTAACATCCAGGCTGTATTGGGTTCCTTCCCCTGGACTGCTGTGAGGAAATCTCTCCCTTAAGAAGCCCAGCAGGGTCCACCCACCCTTCCACATTCCCACATCCATCAGTATTAGCAGCAGTAATGTCACACTGTGACCCATCTCACCAGTCCTAATGTCCCGGGCCACGAGTTGGTGCTTTTGCAGACGCTGAATGAGGCAGCAGCACTGAAAGGACTCAGCCTCAGCAGCTCCTTCCTGCTGCAGCACTGACTGTAAGCACTATGCTGTGTTTCCATACAGGGTTTTTGGTGCTTCCCTAGCACCTTTGGTGAAAAACTAAGCTTATCTGTTTATTAAAGCAGCAAACCCTGTCTTTTTTATTGATGGATTGGTTATGCTTTTCCTTCACTGTGGCAATATGTCAATTAAGTGTTGAGAAGTTTCTTCATCTCTAGCTGCAAGACCAGGAGTTCATACAAAGCTGGTTCAGGACAGGCGACTATTTTCAGGTAGAATCCTCAGACTTGCTAACAATTTCTTTCCTTCTATCAACGTCATTTATAAATGTTGTTCCATACATGCACACATTGTGACTGTTTGCATGTTTTCCCAGCATCATGGCACTAAAACATCATTTTCCAAATTCCCTATTTCTCTGATTTACTATACCAAAAATCACATTCAAACAGCCAAGTTTAAAGCATCAGCTCAAGAGAGTCTTGCAAGCTTCCTTCTTTTCCTCCTCCCCGTTTTTTTTTTTTTGACAAAACAAAAAAGATATGACTACAAAACAGTTATAAAACATTTCATGTTTTGAATCTTCAAAGTATTCTGGATCTCCCTCCTGCCTCCAAAAATAAAGAATTCTGCACACTGTCTCCCTTCATATAATCATTACTACAAATAAGCGGTTCTGTACTGAACTTTGAACTTCTGTAATTGTCAAATATTAAAGCCTGAAGAGTAATATCCCATGTTCTTGGCTTCTTTCAAATATAGCTTTACAGCTATCAACACTAGCAGCCAAGCCCATATATAATCACCTGCTCAAAGCAGAGCACGAGAAACAAGCAGAGACCTCAAAGATAGCGATTCAGATTAAACCACCTCAGATCTCCCAGGGAATTACAACTGAATTCCTCCCTAGCGTTAAAGTGCTGTGCCATAGGCTACATAAATAAATACAAGTAATCACTGACCTTATTGTTAAGAACACTGTGCTAATGGTTATGCATAAACATCACTTCTCCACTCCTGCAAGTCAATTAAAGCCAGGCTGTGAGTAATGCCCAAAGCAGCACCTTCCACTTAGCTTTTTGCCACTGCTTTGTCTAGGCTCCTTTTAACAAAGCACTACGATTTTTTAAATGCATTTTTTATTGATGATAACTTCAATCTAAATCAAACAATGTAACGGCGAGACAGGCACAGGTTACTCAACACAAAGGATGCCATTTGAGGGCTAAGATCCAGGCATCCATCTCTCTGCCTGCCTAGAATCATACAAATTGCTGCTCTCCCAAAACCAACCTAAGTCCACTAAATAACTTTCACATAAGAACAACAACTTTTTGGCTAAGCCTGGAAGAGACTGGTAAAGCTAGAAGCCTATTGGTTTTCTGTGATCTTCTGTCACATTACAATTTCATTGGGATCTGTAACACAAGGTGAAAAAATTATGTACATCTTAACAGAGGCAGAACTATCGCTAGAACAGGTGATAGTTTTCCTTCCTGCTCTGATTGCCTACGAATAACTCACACAATATACCTCTTTCCAGGATCACTGGACAGAGCAGCAGCTGGCACACAGAGGTACACCTGCAAACAGGGTGACCTGCTCACTCGCAGCACCTACGATAACAGGTAGACACCTAGCAAAAGGCAGGCTTCCATCTCCCCGACCCGTCCCCGTGTTACTGGTTAACCCGGCGACCCGGCTCGGTCCACAGCCCGGCGGGCTGATCGATCTCTCTTCCTGATGTCGCGCCCTCCAATGATGCAACAGCACCCACAGCGGGGCACGGGAACGAAACCCTATTTACGCACGTTTCCTCACTCCAGTGCACGCCTGGTCGGCGGTCACCTTTCATTCCTCGCTTTCAGACGCAACGAGACAACGTGCTCCCAGGCGTTCAGCAACTTTATTGTCAGCCACCTCGCCGGGCAGCGCTGCGGCGGGGCGGCAGAGCTCCCTCCCTCCTGCCGGGGCCCCGCAGCACGCTGCCGGACAGCCGGCGGCTCCCGCAGCCACGCTCGGCCCATCCCGGAGCCGCTCCCCGCGCTCCACGCCCGCGCACCGTTCCTTCGAGGAGCGCAACGGCGGCGGCGCGGCCGCTCCGCTCCACGCCGGGCCAGGCGCGGCGGCCATGGGCGTGGTGTCGGGGCCTCCCGCCGCACCGCGGGGAGGGGGGCACCGCGGCCGGGCCGCGACAAAGCGGGGTCCCCGCCGCGCCGGCCGCGAAGCCACCCCCCGCCGAGAAGGGGGCCCCGAGGCCGCGCGGGAGGAGCACGGCCGCTCGCGGCCCGGCACCGCGGCGGACACGGCCGCGGGGCAACCGCGCTCCCGCCTCCGCCTCCCCCCGCCTAGGCCGCAAAATGGAGCCGGAACCGGGGGGGCACCTCCCCGTTGAGACGGGGGCAGCCGCCGCACCGAGACCCCCCGCCGCCGCCACCGCCTCGCTTCTCCCCCCGCCCGCCCGCCTCTCTCCCTCCGTCTCCCCGCCGCCCGCTCCGCTCCGCTCCCCCGGCCGCGCGGCCCCGCTCCCTCCGGCCGCACAAAGAGGCGGGCGAGCAGCCGATGGCGGCGGGGCCCGGGGGCTGCTCGCCCCCCACTTCCTGGTCCCCGCGGCGGCGGCGCGGCGGCGGCGCCGGGGCCCGAGGAGGGAGACGGACATTTCATTCGAGCCTGCAGTGGAACCGGTTACCAATCATTGGCCGGAGCCAGGCACAAACCTCCAGTGCGGCCCTGGTTGGCTCCCTCCGCAAATCGGCTGTTTGGTTGGACAGAAAATGGCTGCGAAGGAACCAGTCCCAGCGCGGAGCCCCGCTTCCCGCAGCCGGCCTGCCCTCCCTCCGCGCCGCCTCCCCGCCACGCGCGCCGGCTCTTCCCCTCAGCGCGCTCCCTCCCTCCGCGCTGCCGGCGCGGCCTTCCCGGCCCTGCCCGCCTCCTTTATGGGGACGGAGGCGCCGGACGCGGGGCGGGGGGACGCCCCCGGGAAAAGGGGGTCTCAGCCCTGCGGTGTAGGGCTGCCGTTGCTGCTGTTTGATTGGTTGTTGGTGGAGACTCCTCACAGCCCGCCTCGGCTGTCCTACACCTGCCCTTGGCTCGTCGGTTGAGAGGGAAATAAATCATGTGCCCCCCATTGACTTTGCTGCCTTCCTCATCACTCACGGACTGAGAAAGAATCACGGAATCGTAGGGGTTGGAAAGGACCTCTAGAGGTCACCTAGGCCAACCCCCCGGCTAAAGCAGTGGGTTCCACAGGAAAGCATCCAGGCGTATTTGGAATATCTCCACAGAAGGAAACTCCATCACCTTTTTGGGCAGCTTGATCCAATGCTCTGTCACCTTCACAGTAAAGGAATTCTTCCTCATGTTTGTATGAAGCTTCCAATGTTGCAGTTTGTACCCACTGCCCCTCGTTTTTTTCGTTGTACACCACTGAAAGGCTAAGAAAGATGAGGTCAGTAAAGGAGGAGGAAGGCCCACCCTTGGTCCCAGCCGTGTGGTGGAACAAAACCAGAGGTGAGGGGTTCTGTGGCTCAGCTTTGCCCCTTCCCTTTGCAGAAGTAAAATCTCACTGCAGACCTGCAAGGATCATTTCCCCTGGTGACACGGACTGGTGAGCCTGGTTTCCTCTCACCTTCAGCTTTTGTTTTAGTCTTTAAAATACAGGCTGCTGGGTGAAGATGATGGGCTGGCTTCTCCTCTGAGACTTATAAACCTCCCTTGTGAAGAGTTTATATGAAACACTTCATAATCCACCAATTCGCCATTTACTGGAACCAGAGAGTGATTTTCTCTCAAGCAAAAGCAGCCAGAGACATTCCACACACCTGCTGCCAACAGCGTCTGTGTGCAGCCTCTGCAATGGAAGTAATAGGAATAGCTTGGGAGTCTTCAGTATTTTACCTAAACACATGAAACTCATGTTTCACAATAGCCTGTGTTAGCATTCTTCTTCCAGTTATTACATAAACATGTTCCTCTGCAAGTTTTCTTCTGGTGTTCGAATTTAAAGAAAGCAGAACTCATAAACCTTATAAATCTTACGAATTTCCACTTGTTTTCATGTAAGAATGTTAGTTTCTTGTGTTTCAATACATCAGAAAGATTCACACTCACTCAGAATGTCCATGGGTTTGGACCGAGTTTCAAATTTAAATGGAAACATCAAATGAGACAAATTTTGCATGGCCTCGGGTTTTTACTCCAAATGCTGTATATCATTCTGCCTCCTGGGTACTGTGAGCAGTAATTAGTTAATTTTTTTTGAAAATGCCTGGAAGATGTAAAGTAATAAAAGAACATTCACTAACTGCAGGGCCTTAGGGAATACATTTCCCCTCTATCCGTCTTGTGTACACTAAGTATAATACCACGGCAATACAGCATTCATCTCGCTCTGTGGTTTCAAGATCTTTCTATGGATTCTCTCATCTCAAACTGGAATTTCACAAGCGAGGGGAAAGACAAACACTGACATTAATGCAGGTTCTTCAGGGCATAGAGTAGGTGGTGCCCTTGGCTTTGAACAGCTCCGCTGACATTTTGATTGAAAATGTGACCGTCAAATCTTAACACTGTATGTTTTTCACACTCAAAGCAAAAAATACTGATTGTTTTGCCTGTGATGGTTTTTGCTGGCATTTATAACTATTAAATTGATGTGAAAACTACTTCTCCAGAGGAGAACTCAGTAGTTAAATATGTCAGCCAGCTGAAGCCAGAAGATCCAAGACAAAGTTATTCTTTACATACCTTTTATCTCGTGTTTTACCATCGGTGACAGCTTCTATCACACCTTTATTGTGTGGACTTTGATTGGCTAAATATCTTACCCATATGCTAAGCCCATTCTCAAGCTCCATATATTTGCAAGACCATGTATTCTATTCATGTTATATATCCTAAAAATGTGCATTTCTGCATGCCAATCTGCCTTTCCCATGTGTACATTATTAGGTGTTTCTTGTGTGAACCTTGCTATATCATAGAATCACAGAATCTTTTGGGTTGGAAGGGACTTTTAAGGCCATCTAGTCCAAATCCCCTGCAGTGAACAGGGAAACCTACAGCTACATCAGGGTGCTCAGAGCCCCTCCAGAGTGATCTTGGGTGTCTTCAGGGATGGGGCATCCAGCACTTCTCTGGGCAACATGTGCCAGTGCCTCATCACTGTTTAATTGGAAATTATTTCCTCTTGTCCTGTTACAACAGACCCTGCTAAAGAGTCTGTCTGTCCCCTTCTTTCTTACAGCCTCCCTTTAGATATTAAAAGGCCATTATCACCTGGTATAATGCATGCTGCTTTGTTATCTAGCTGCTTATCAAATCTCAAATTCCTTATCATGTCTTTTAGACTTTATATTTTCCAGAACTGAATGTAGTTCCTCTTGTCTACAGTGCATTCCTTTTATTCTGTGGCCAATCTGTTTCTCCTTTTAGATCAGCTCAAATTCTGTCTTCAAAGAAAGAGAAGAATGTTCAAGAGCAGGTGGAGTTAACTGCAGTAAGATGTAAGGGAGAGCTGACTGAGTTTGTGATCTATAGTGTGTGAGGTTGTCACTGGTGTTTGAAATTTCTGCCCTGCTTAGTAGGTGTTAGCTAAGAAAGCTGTCAAAGTGTGATACAGGTGTTACTACAGAACTTTCTTTAAACCAGAATATCTTGGTCTGCTCCAGAATGTGCCTTACTTGTGCTCTGGGCTCTGTCATTTACAGAAGTGTGTGTTTGGAACAAGAAAACACAGTTTTTTTTAGAGAGATAGGACTACGAGCTCCATCAGGCTTCTGGAATTTCTTTTCTTTCTTAACAGTGACCTTTCTAATGCTTGTTATCTGCTCTTGTAGATGAGAGCATTCTTATTTGTATCAGAAAATCTTAATTAAAAGAAGATACTTGGAAGATACCATTGAGCCTGCCAGTGCTGCATGAAAAAAAGATTAAATATGTCAATGAATGTGAAACAATTGAATGTGGAAATCCAGGAGAAATAATCTACAGGTAATTAACTAAACATAGGAGTCTCAGAAGGGGAAGATCAGATGGAACAGATTAAAGTTCAGGATATATTTCATTTTCCCAAAGCTCTCACATACGTTGAAAAAATTATTTAGCAACTCCAGTGTGACTTGCTTTTAGATTATATTGTCCTTTCAATACCATGAAGGAACTCAGTGCTCAGGTGCCATTCATGGTGTGTGGTCTCACAGATCTGAAAGAGTCATGAGCAGGGTCTGTATTGTGACAGCACACCTGAGAAGCAGTGCTCTGATAGTAGACAGCTTTGCTATCCCCACTATGAGGACTGAAGAATGTGTTTATTCTGAGTGAACTGGTACCCAGCCAAAAGGGGGATGGGAAAAGCATGATTCTGAAATGGCTACAGCTCATTTGGGCACCATGGTCCAAAGAGCAATGTGCGAGCTTGGATTCAATTCCCTGCACACTACTTGTATAACCTTGGGCAAATCCAGGCCATCAAATCTGAATTGAGAGCTAAGCAAATACATTTGATAGTCTGTTTTGTTAACTATATTTTGCCTCAATTCCCTGTCTGTTTCATCAGTAACAACACTACTTTTCTAGGTTGAGATGAACTGTGAATTGCTTAGATGCTAGGAAGCTTCAGTACATAGATGCTAAGGTACTTAGTACTAGATACTAGTACTAGGATGCTAGATACTAAGATAATGGTATCATAACTTACAAGAGACAAGGGAAGCTATTTCCTGAAAATTCTTGAGGCTGAGCTCCTATGTACAATTTCTAATAGATGAACGAATTTTTGAGCAATTTCCTCTCACTCAACTGCCTTTCTTGCAAAAGAAGTACAGAAACAGAGTATGTAAATTTGATTAAAATTGGCTAACATGTCAAAAGTTATTGAGGGAAATAGGACAAATAGGCAATGCATGAATGCATATGTCTTGATCCTCAGCTTGTTGTTTTCACCAGTGAAACAGCTAGTGAAGCAAGTACATCCAAAGATATCACTTGAAGTTTAGGTGTACTAGTTAATTTTTTGCCAGGTAGTGCTTATTATGGCTAGCAGCAATCCCTTTGAAATGTGCCTGCAGCAGAACTGACTTGTAATCAGGTTATTTATATGTTAAAACATGTCTATAACATCAAATGTAAACATACCACAAAAGCAACCAAGAACTTTGAAGTACACACGCAAGAAGATGCATGTGATTGTTTGAAGGCTGAAATGAGATCTTGGAAGAAGCCTCTAACTTGGCCATGAGTAATACAGCAACAGTTAGAGATGAAACTGTAAGAGTATCTACACTGCCTTGTTTTCAATAAAGCAACTCTGCACTGTTACTGAGATGGAATCTGACAGGAGCCCTGCTTTGCAATTGTGCAATTATTGCCTCTTGGATAGAAAAACATTTCATTGGTTTGGGCTCTTTTTGAAAAATGGGGGGAAAAAACAGTACTTACTTAGCAAGTATAAAATGAAAAGCCAAAGTGTTTCTATTAAAATTTTAAGTGGACATTGTTATAGCTAAATATATGATGTTTTCAAATGTCATTCACATGGATTTATTTGTCATCTGCACTTTGCTTTATTGTGGTTATGTGTTTTTTGTTTTCTCCTGTTATCAGCTGTATGTGGGACTGAGTTTATCCAGTAGTGTGAGTATGGTGAAACACATCTTAATTCTACTGTGGAAGAGGACAAGCAGCTGCTAAATGGTCCTGCGGTGAAACTCTACATCTCCCGTGGGCTGGAAAGCTGGGTTCCATTACCACTCTGTTTTGAGTATTGCAGAGAGAGCCAGAAGGTATGTATGTCAGATGAAAATGGGATGTGAGGAAATGTGAACTGTTGCCTAGGTCAGTTGTGATTACGAAGCTGCAGTTAGGAA